AGCTACTTCCTGTCAGGAAATAATACCGACTGGCCGCAGACTTATTGGGTGTAACACACTAAGCAGTATTGTACTCTCGCACGCTTTGTTTATTTGCTCGCTGTCGGTCTTTTACGGCAGAAGTTTCCTCTTTGATTTACTGGGGCATGAGATCAGGCAGGAATGTAATTCAGGGAGCCGACAGGCAGTGAAACAACCTCCACCCTGAGCAGATACTTGGAGGAATGAGTCTCAATTATCTCTGTTGTAGACGAACACTGTTGCTCTTTGTGTTTAAGAGATGGCTGTTATTGTATGTACGGCTTTTTCAACTCCTCAAGCCTGTAAATAATTAGACTGGGAATTATATAAATTGCCGTTTACTGAAAACCATCTTAACATTGATCAGTAGAGATAAATAAAATTGTGTCTTTGGTTGGACATATCTATCCAAAAAAAATATGTTTTTTGTTTGGTCAAAACTTGCATACTTATTTCTTAAAGTTATCCTGTAAAGAACTTTGTTATACTGTACTGTGAAGCTACTATAAGGAGTTTTTGGGGTTAATTGAACAGACTGAAATTCATGTTGATTCCTTTTCATGTTCTTAAAGACCAAACAAAATCACAAGGGCTGATATTGATCATCTCTTTACAGTCATTTTTCATGCCTGAAATTGGTAAAAGGAGGAAGGAGTCACCCGAGCAGCTGGAGAAACAGCCTAGTTCCAGTTTACTCTGTGAAAATAATCATAATTGGTTTTTTTTATTTGGTAGTCAGAAGTTAGCAGGATGAGGTTTTATATCAATAGACATTACTTCAGCATGTGGACAAGATAATCAAAGACTGCTTTGTCCACAGGGGGCGCCAAAGTTGACCAAGACACTCTGGCTGCAGACCTCCACTGTCGGGACCCTACGTAGCAGACCTCCACTGTGAGGACCCACCACTACTGGAAGTTGATTTAAAGCCTTTCAAAATAAAAGTAAATATACCAGGAGTATTTTTTTTACGTTGGAAGTTGATCCGAAGCCTTTCAAATTAAAAGCGATTGCACTGGGAAGGACGTATTTTTGGTCTCGTCTGAATATATTTGATTTCTTTGGGCTCTATTATAAGTATACAATGTTAATATGATTTTTTGTGTATTCATGTGTTCAACAAAGAAAAAATAGAAAATGGGATTACCACTTTAAACAAACTGTAGCGCGAGAAACAAACGGTCACCTCGGGTCATCACAGTGGAGGTCGGCAGCCAGACCCCCCTCAAGTTGACACTAACCAAAAGTTCCTCACAGGAGTTCTAAGAAGGTATTTTCAAAACTCCATGAAGAGATTTTTTTTTGACATTTATGAAACATACTAGGTTGTTTCATACCAAATTGATATCAATGCCATCGGGCTCAAGATCAGCCCACATAGAGCTTCACAGTGTTCCTCTCTACTCTCTGTCTGTCTCACTCAATAAAGGCACAAAAAGCCCCAAAGTAAACTTTATAAGACACCTTGAACAGATGTAAGTCATTTAGTAATCCCACTAGTTATTTGAGTATTTGCTTGTGACTTAGCGGATCAGAAAGGGTTTGGAGTCCTGGATCACACCAGCCTTCATGGTCCTTTAACGACACAGACGTGACTGGATGGGGTCCAGGCTCTCGAGCTGAGCATTCCTGTCCTCTTTCGGCCTTTCATATCCCTCTGCCCTACAAACCCAGTCATGATCGAGAAACACATGAGGACAAACCTGTGACACCGACTGAGGAAATCAGTTTTTATATCTTAAATTTAAACTGAATGTAATTTCTATTTGTCTTTACTCCAAAACCTGTTTATGTGTAATACTCATGATAAAAAGGTCAAGGAAATACATGTTTTTGAAGGTCATACTGTAACTGTCTCTGAGAATGGCTGTGCATTTTTCATGTTGAGGTAGTCGCTGTGTTATAAAATATAAAATAAAATATTGTCTCTATCTTTTATTCTCAATACAAACATTTGTTTATTGTTGTAACCTCCACTCTAATAACCTCAGAGTCTGACTCGACTGTTCACACCCTCCTGAGGCCGCACCAGGAACAAGTATGCTTAAAGGTAACATACCACCAGTAAATGTCACGCTCAGGCTTTCCGTGATTGACGATAACTTCAGGGTGTCCACTTCTTGTCAGACTTCCTTGTTCCTTTTTTTCAGTATGAGCCTTTGTGGTTATTATACTCATTTTAGACTAAAAATTTTAGAAGAAGCTTAAAAAGAATCAAATGCCGACTGAATTTAGAGTGATCGATTGCTTCAACTTCAGCAGCAATGTTTCACACCGTGGTACACTAGAGCAGCTGAGCATTTTTACTGTAAAGATTTATGAGAACACTGTACTGTGTGTGTGTGTGTGTGTGTGTGTGTGTGTGTGTGTGTGTGTGTGTGTGTGTGTGTGTGTGTGTGTGTGTGTGTGTGTGTTAGAGTAAAAGGGAGGAAGTGTTGCTGCTGTATACTGTCATGAACGTGACACCGCACATAGCAGCATACAGCTGCAAAGTCGAATGAAGTCAGCTATTCCTCTTTCTCCCTGCAGACAAACTCATCAAACCAATAGTAAAACCCTTTTCCTACATTAACCCACCTAACAAGCTGAAGTTAAATAGCAGGACTTTTTAAAGCTTCCTGGGAAACCAGTGAGTTGTTAGATTTCATTATTAGCAAAAGCTTATTTGTGCACTCTCATGGGTTAAAGCTTAAAACTCTTGAAATGAGGGGGTATTAAATATAATCATTCCGATCTTTACAGTGGGTGTGCTTCGACTTGTTGCCAACTTGACTCCCCCCCTCTGTGCAGGTAAAAGGGTATCAGGCAAACAAATGACAGAGCCATTGAACTCTTACCCTCATAAACAGGAGTAAAGGTGGCACTACACCAGGCGTTTTACTACCTTTTCTTACTTCATTTACAGCTTAAATTTACCAAACTGTGAATCAATCCCTGGATTTCCTTTTTGAGAATACACGCACCTGTTTGGGCTGTTATCTTTTTGTGTCTATGATATGCTGGGAAGAAAACAAGGATGTTAGTTGGTATTTCAAAAAGTGTATTTCCTCCATTCTTTGTCGGAAATCATAACAAATATTAGAAAACATTGATCCTGACTGCAGTAAAAGAGGTCAGTAAAGCTGCACGTTTCAGACTTTGTCCTTTTACAGCCTGTCTGCTCTCAGCATTTTTAAAACGTGTATCTCAATGAACTACATTTCGATATTAGTCATATCTAATGAGTGTTTGGCACAGTCTTGAAGCACTTGAACCTGATAGTCACTTTAGCGTCTCTTGTTTCTCTTGACAAAGTGCCATCACCCTGATCCATATTTCATAGTGTTCTTATCTCTTCAAAATTAAAATTTGTGACAGCCTGAAAGTGTTTTTTCTTCTTTTTTCTGCAGTATTTCTGTGTGAACTTGACAAACCATACTGAAACTGACTTCTGAGGCTGCATGTGGCTCTTGAATTATTCCCAGGTAAACAAATGTGTTAAGGTTTGCATTAAAAATATATATTTAGTGACAGGCATTTTCTTATTAAAGAATAAGCAGACTCTTTTTTCCCCCTAAAATGTAATCCTAAATTCTTGTTACCCTGCAGTTTTACCTTTGATATTTGGCATGAGTGGTGATATTACATAACATTTCAATGATCATCTAACAGTGCAAGTCCTCCCTGTCATGACAAAGGTGAAACCAGACATACACAGGACAGGGGATTCAAACTGCACATTTGAAGAAACAGAGTGATCCAGCTTTCTCTTCACAACTTGTAGTTTTTACTTCTAGGTTTCAGACTGGTAGTGGAAAGTCTATTCACTTGACAATAAAGTATGTCAGTCTTACTGCTTACAGAGTCCGCAAGAAGAGGAGCGACCTCTGCAATCATGACATAAAATTTCATTTTATGTCATGATTGCAGAGGTACTAATTAGATGTGTATAAATTGCCAAAAAACAGTGGATAAAACTAAATTAAAGAAAATAACAGCTTATCAAATGTGTCAGTTAAATGTTAGTCAACATTGTGAGACTTGGATATCAACAACTTTTAAGCTTTACCATCCCAGGGACAATAGTTTCATTCTCAAGGGCCTGTATAAAACAGAGAAACAACCTAACCCCCCACGATTACAAATGCTGTGAGATTAACTTGGTATCATTGGACTTAAGTGAACTAAGAGTCATCTGATTGATATGAGTTTCACAACATTCATGTGGACTTGAAAATGGTTTGCAAAATAATGGACTGTCTTGATGTGATTAAACATGTGGTTTATTGTTGAAATTCTGCAATCTGGTGCTAATCTGCAGCTGCACCATGGGGTGGCTCATGGGCGGGTGTGGAAACAGTTTGGTAAAGGCTTTCCACTCAGAAACAAAATTACCATTGGCTTACTGGTGCCATACCCCTAGATGGGACTGGCACACAAGCCTAGAGATTGGCAAATGCCATTTGCCCCCATAGAGGTACACCGTTAACCACTTCAAGTGCTGCTGAATTACTGGCTCATGTAGTGGCACAAACCATGGCAAACTGTCAGCCACTTTTTGATCTCATTGTGACTCCTCAAAGATTAGTTAGAAATAAAGACAGCAAAAACGCCACCAAACTCTAATGATAATACCTTTTTTGACTCTGCAAGCTCTTCAAAGGTCATCCACTGAGTAAGCATTGCATAATTCTTCATGTCATTGTCTCCTGTGAGGCAACGAGGAAAACGAGCATGTTTTTTTTTTTTTTTAAAGTTCCTGCTCTTTTGTGTTGTCAAGCCAAAATGACAAACAACAATGTATTGATGCGTTCGTCTACGGCACAGGTCAGTCAATCTTCACATTTCCTCATTCGTTAACTGAATTCTTGTTTCACTTTTGTCTCTTAAAATACTTCACAGTTTGTGCAACATGGTTGTGCAATAGGCCTGCCTGGAAATCAGGCGTTCTTGCTGTGGAACAATGAATTCAAACCCTCTGTTGGGTTTACTGGATCCAGATGAACCGTGTGAAAACAGGATTACATCCCCCAAAGAAATTAACGACCCTGGCTCTGGGGAAGCAACATAAGGGATCTGAAACAACTCAAAGTTTTCGCCAAAGCATTTATTCACAAGATCTCATTTTTTTAACAGACAATAACCTGGACTTTCTCTGTTTAACCGAAACCTGGCACAATCATCTCGACCTCTTCCCACTAAACCAAGCCACACCCCCCCGTTACTCCTACCTGCACCAACCCCGCCTCACTGGACGAGGCGGTGGCGTCGCATTCATCCACAAGCAGACCCTCAAGACCACCCCCATCCCCACCCCGACTGTCCACTCATTTGAACACATTTCAGTCAAACTCCCTGGCCCCACCCCACTGGTCATTGTCACCATCTACCACCCTCCAAAACCCCACCCATCATTCCTTTCTGATTTCTCTGAACTGGTCACCCAACTAAATACCATCTCATCCTCTGTCCTGTTACTTGGCGACTTCAATTTCCACATCGACAACCCCACCTGCAAACAAGCCTCTGATTTTCTGGACCTACTCGACACCCTCAACCTCACCCAGCATGTACACTCCCCCACCCACTCCCACGGCCACACCCTCGACCTCGTCTGCTCTACCGGCATCTCCATCCACCATCTCTCCACCACCAACCTCTACATATCTGACCACCTGGCCGTCACTTTCAGCAGTGAAAAATGACTCATCTCCTTCAGAAACCTCAAATCCATCTCGCCACAGGACATCTCCGCTTCCCTATCTATCACCCTCACCTCATCCCCTCCCCCACCTCCTGCCAAACTTACTGACCTACTCAACTATTACAATAACACTCTATCCCCCTGCCTGGACCAGCTCGCACCCCTCAAAACAAGAACAGTTTCATTTAGACATTCCGCCCCCTGGTTTACCTCAGAACTGCACAAAATGAAATCTCACAAACGCCAACTAGAACGTCTCCACCACAAAACCGGCCTCACTGTCCATCTCCAAGCCTACACTGACCACCTCCACCTATACAGAACAGCCCTCAAGTCCGCCCGCTCATCCTATTACTCCAACGTCATCCACTCCAGCTCCAGCAACCAAAAGACTCTTTTCACCACAGCCAAAAAACTTCTCCACCCCATAGACACCATCTCCACCACCTTCACCCTGGAAAAGTGTAACTCATTCCTCTCATCTTTTCAAACCAAAATCAACACAATCTACAACTCCCTTCCCCCACCTTCCATTCCCAGCTCCTCCCCTCCTGCCCTCATCCCATCAGCACTCTCCCATTTCTCACCTGTTTCTCCAAATGACGTGTCCAACATCATCTGCTCCATGTCATCATCCACCTGCATCCTGGATCCCATCCCATCCTCCCTCATCAAGCACTGCCTCCCCGTCATCTCTCCCATCATTACACAGATCATCAACTCCTCCCTCAACTCTGCCACTGTTCCCCCTTCACTCAAACTGGCTGCTGTCACCCCCATCCTTAAAAAACCTGGACTCAACCCCGACGATATCAATAACTTCCGGCCCATCTCCAACCTCCCTTTCCTGTCGAAAATCCTGGAACGAGTCATTGCATCACAGATCAAAGTCCACCTCAACAATAACAATCTCTATGAACTGTTTCAATCAGGATTCCGCACCCACCACAGCACCGAAACTGCCCTCATAAAAGTCACAAACGACCTTCTCATATCTGCTGACTCCGGCCAACTCTCCATCGTCATCCTCCTTGACCTCTCCGCCGCGTTTGACACCATTGACCACGCCATCCTCCTGTCCCGCCTACACTCCCTCCACAACATCACAGACACTGCTCTCAACTGGATCCAGTCATATCTCACAAACCGGAATCACTTCATCCACATCAACAACTGCTCCTCCAAAACTGCCCCCGTGTCCCAAGGTGTCCCCCAGGGTTCGGTGCTTGGTCCTCTCCTCTTTATCATCTACCTCCTCCCTCTCGGCCACATCCTCCGCCAACACAATCTCCATTTCCACTGCTATGCTGACGACATTCAATTATATATCTCTTCCACCTCCATCACCCCCCAGACCCAACGCTCCCTCTCAAACTGCCTCACTGATGTTAAAAACTGGATGGACAGTAACCTTCTAAAGCTCAACTACAACAAAACAGATCTCATCATCATTGGCCCAAAATCCCTCACCTCCACAGTCACAGACTTTCATCTCTCCATTAACAACTCCACCCTCTCCCCCTCCCCCCACTGTCGCAACCTTGGAATTCTCTTTGACAGCAACCTCACCTTCACACAACACGTTAAGCACATCACCAAAACAGCCTACTACCACCTCAAAAACATTGCCCGCCTCCGCCCCTCCCTCTCCTACTCTGCAGCTGAAACCCTTATACATGCATTCATCTCATCCCGTCTAGATTACTGCAACAGTCTCCTCCACGGCACTACCTCCACTCTCCTCAATAAACTTCAGCTCATCCAGAACTCTGCCGCCCGCCTCCTCACCCATACACGCTCCCACCAACACATCACCCCCGTCCTCCAGAACCTACACTGGCTCCCCATCCCCCATCGCATTCAGTACAAAATCCTCCTTCTCACCCACAAAGCACTCCACAACCAGGCCCCCCCCTACCTGCAAGATCTTCTCCACCCCTACTTCCCCCCCGCACCCTCCGCTCCGCCGATGCCAACCTCCTCACAGTACCCTCGACCAAGCACCGAACCTGGGGGGACAGAGCCTTCTCAGTCACTGCCCCCACCCTATGGAACTCACTCCCACTGGACCTCAGAAACTGCTCCAACCTTACCAGATTCAAAACCCAGCTCAAAACTCACCTTTTCCGCACTGCTTTTCATCTTCCTTTTTTTTTTTAAAAAACAAACACAATATGCTAGCATGTTCAATTTCAACTGGAAAAACTACGACCTTGAAAGGGCATCAGCGATGATGTTGTCCTTCCCCCGGATGTGCTGGATCGTCAAATTGAAGTCTTGCAGGAAGAGACTCCATCTCATCAGGCGCTTGTTTGGGTTTTTCATCCTGCTCAGAGACACCAGCGGGTTGTGGTCTGTATAGACCACTAGGGGTTGACTGGAGGACACGTATACTTCAAAATGGTGAAGAGCCAAAATAAGAGCCAAAGCCTCTTTTTCAATTGTTGAGTATCTTCTCTGATGGACATTGAATTTCTTGGAGAAGTATCCCAACGGATGCTCAACACCAGAGGAATCCTCTTGCAGGAGGACAGCCCCAGCACCTACATCACTAGCATCCACAGCTAGCTTAAAAGGAAGGTGGAAGTTGGGGGCAGCAAGAACAGGGGCACTAGCTAGCAGAGCCTTCAGCACTTCAAACGCTAGCTGACAAACATCTGTCCAATCAAACGGGACATTTGGACTCAACAAGTTAGTCAGTGGGGCAGCAACAGTTGCAAAGTTCCTACAAAAACTGCGGTAGTAACCTGCCATAACGGTATACAAAATTATAATATACAGTACATGATTATACAAAATTGAGGTGTCTGATCAGACTTGTCAACGAGCAAACAAGGGGAACTCCATGCGCTTACACTGGGCTCAGCAATGCCATGCTTTAACATATAATCAACCTCTTTTCTCAAGATTTTGCGCTTCTCAGTGTTGACACAATAAGGATGCTGCTTGACAGGAGTTGCATCACCAACATCAATATCATGCTGGAGGACATTGGTGCATGTGGGTACATCAGTAGAAACATCCTTAACTGTCTCCTCATCAACAGCCTCTTCAAAGAGGGAGGACAGAGTTTTGTCACTACTCTGTGCAACCTTTAGCTCTTCACGTGAGGGGAAAACATTGTTGAACCCTAACGTCACATCTTTAGCTAAAGTGGTGTCAGAAAGGTCAAGATCAGCGTCACATCCTTTGTCTTTTTCTCTCTTTGACATGGCACGGGTACTCACACAAACAGAGAAGGTATCTGGATAACGCTTTTCTAGATCATCTGGAATTTCAGTCACCACAGGAACCGGAGTCACTTCAGGAACAGCTCCTACTTTATCACCAGCAAGATCATTTCCCAAAATAAAGGACACACCATTAATTGGAATACGGGAACACAGAGCAACAGCGACTTCACCTGATGCTATGGAGGTCTGGAGGTTAAGACGATGCATGGGCAATGACAAATAACCACCAAAACCTTCAATCAGAGCATTAGAGCCTAAAGAGGACTCATCATTAAACTCCAAAAAGTCCTGAAGAATCAGGGACTGAAAAGCTCCAGTGTCTCTCCAGATTTTAATGGGTTTCTTACTTTCTGGATCAGAACAGAGGGAAACATAACCATCCATAAGGAAAGACGAGGAACCAGCCAACTGAACCTTTTCAGACGAATGCTGAACAGAAGAAAATGAAGAGGGCTTTTTTTTAGCTTTTATGAAGGCTACAGGTTTGAAAGACTTTTGTTTCTTGCTCAGAACAGGGCACTCAGCAATAAGATGACCAGGTCTCTTGCAATAGAAGCAAGCTTTTTCTGCGAAAGCACTTCCAGAAGTGTTGTCAAAAAGAGGTAAAAACCTGCGTGTTTGCTCACATGTGTGTGTCATCCTGATATTGTCAGTGCGTGATGAATCAGAAGACATTCATATGACTAACATGGTTTCATATTCATAACCTCAATGTGAGAAGTTGCAGTCATTTTTAATCAGAAACATCAACTCAACTATGAGGCACCAGTAATGGTTTATGGAGTTTTTTTAGGGGGAAGTTGTCACATAACGAAAAAACATAAATTATATTTACGGTCAGCTCTTGTAATGAAACCTTGTGTCAATCAAAACAGGTATCTTTCCACTGTGTTCAAAAAGATGACAACACACACGTCTCAAATTTATATGAAATATAAAAACAGGGTTTACAAAAACAAAGATACACTCAAACTGCATGCTCCAACACCTCTATCACGTTCCTCTTATGCACCCAAGCTAGCTGTATTTATTTCTTCAAACTCACTAAAGTTGTGCAAACTTGTGCAAAATGCTGCTGCCCGTGTTTTAACCAGCACTAACAGACGTGAGCACATCACTCCTGTCCTTAGCTCCCTTCATTGGCTTCCTTTCTCTTATTGGATTGATTTTAAACCTTTAATGTTTGTCTTTAAAGCTCTTAATGGCCTCGCCTCCATCTATTTAACTGAGATTTTAACCGTTCGGGAGCCGGGTAGAGCTCTGTGGTCGTCAAAACAGCTTCTGCTGGAGGTGCCCAGGTCAAAACACAAACACTGGGGTGACCGTGCCTTGTCAGTTGTTGGTCCCAGGCTCTGGAATAAGCTCCCCAATGAAATAAGACTTATTTTCGACCTGGGCCTTTTTGAATCTCGATTGAAAACATATTTAAAGTGGCTTTTAATACCCAGGAGCGTGGTGACAGTTTATTTTATTGCATTGTATCTCTTTCTTTTGTAATTGCTTTTATTGTTTTTATTTATTCATTTTTACTATTTATTGTAAAGCACTTTGGTGCACCGAAAGGGTTGTTGTAAAGGGATGTATAGATAAAGAACATTTACATTTATATTTTAAAGCTTAGTGAGACCCTGTATTGGACACATGATCTAACTGATCTAACTGTGGCTATTGAAGACAGTGAGTGCTTTCTTTAATCAAACAGCCTATTAAACCATCTGGTCTGCTTTGTGTATAACCTTTAAAATCATTAATTAGAGCTTCGAACAAAGCTCTGAAAACTACAGTTTGCTGCACTTTGACTCTGTCAAGTTCCAGAGAATCAACCCGATTTCTGTGAAAGTAGACGCTGAGTCAGATAAGATTGCAGACTTTAGTAGGTCTTTAAAGCAGTCATAAATGTCTGAAGAGGCCATATATGATAAAGCAAAAAGTAGTGAAAACTTCCTCTTTTCCTGAAAAGGAAAAAGGTAAATGTAGATCCTCCTTTTCTTTGACAGGAAGCACAATCTCTGTGTCCTCACACTTCCAACAGGCCCATAAAGAGGTCCGGTAAACCTTGAGTGTTTGATATGAGGGCGTGTAACCTTGAATAAAGTGCAGCTGAAGGTTGTGAAGCTTTCCCTGCACGGAGGGAACTCACTCATGTGTATATGTGTGTGACAAACATGCAGGTGTGTTATTGTAATTACAGCCCGTAAGTGCTTTGTAGCTACTGAATATTAATCATTATTGTGGTTTCCAGGTCATTCACTCTTTTCTCTTCCTCCTTCCTTCATCTCTGAGACATCATTTACTGGAAACATCTAACTTTCCAGCTCTTAAAACAAAGAAAATATTCCCGTCAAGTCTTATGTTTTGCACTTCGAGAACTTGTTTTATACTGAGGAAATAAACTTATGGGTGTGTATGATTAAGAGTTTTGAGAATAACTTTATATATTTGCAGGAGGTTGTTATTTGTTTCCTGAATAATTTGCGAAAACAAGTGTTCGAGCATCTATCAAGAGTTATGAGAATAAGAACAAACTTGCTACAGGGCATAATCTTTGTTTTAATTTGCAAATTGTGAAGAACAACTCAATAAATCAATAAAACAAAATCTGAAAATTGCTGTGGGTATGGAAAGGTTTTCAAAATAAAAAGGAAGGCTTGAGGCCTGACATGACCTCCTGAGTAAACACCTTCTTTTCCTCAATAACCCCCATCTTTGTCAATAACTGTCCTTGTTTTTACTGAGCAAAAATGCAACATGTTTTGTTCAAGTATGTAAGTAGTGTATCCTAAACTGGAGTCATAACATCATGGTGTAAAAATAACAAAAATACCGCAATAGCAGCCATTCGTAATAGTTTGGTTGAAGGTAAGAATAACATGTTAGCGTTTGTGGAATAGATTGTCACCTAAGTGACTCAGTGACCTGTCACCTTTAATAGCCCAAAGAGGATTTACTTTTGTCTTTAGCAACCAGTCCTCCATGTTAGACTATGGCACAAATTTCCCCTTCACTGGGTGAGGCTTGCAGTGAATCTCATAATGTTGTCTGTCTCTGCAGGTTTTGTTTTTTCCCAAACTACTGTCCTTGTTGTTAAGCCTGTCTTTATTGAAGCAGTTTTTGTTGCACATCGTGTCCTTTTTGTATTCTAAACCAATCTTGTCTTTATTTGTGTGAACTTCTCTTACTGGCATTTTGCCAGAACAAACATTACTGCACTTACAGTAAAATGTCCTTATTTGACCTTTTTTTTCAAATATCAAATTCAGTTATGGACCATTTTGTAGCTTTATGATATGTGCTCAAGTGTGTATACTTATATGAAATTATATGACAAAATAATTAAAAGGATTACCGCTTTATTGATATGTTATCATGCTGTTTAATTTAAGGTTATGAAAACATTACTAGTGTTGTAGATCAGCCAAAAAGATCCAAATCTTAAGAGCTTGCAATAAATTTAATCCATTACAGTCACACAGAGCTATCAGACAATACTACTGAAGGAAAGAGTCCAGAATTGTCCAGAATCTACGTTGGTGACAGGGAGCTACTGAAGCCCAGCACCTGTCATATCTAATGTTAGGAGGTCTGTAATAAGGCACAAGTGCATATTTGCTTTTTATCCAGTTAGATCTACTCTGTTCGCACGTATGTCAAAATTTCAGATCCAAGTCAAATAGTGGACTCTTAATGAAAATAGACCGCTAATCGGATCTTGTTTTGCAAGAAAGAAGTCCATAAATTTGATAAGAAAGAGCATTTCTTTCCCCATTTCACTGATACACCCACTGCACCATCCATGGTGGTGAAGATTTCTAATAGTGATACACCACTGATACCTGGTGGCGGACTTGTGTCACTGCATATGACATTTAAAAAGAAAGCCCTATAGGGGAGAGTGGGGTAAGATGAGCCATTTTACATCAAAGCAATCACAGTTTTGTCTCTAACTAGTGTATCTGCATATGTTTCAAGATGTTGTGCATCCCTGCAAACCAACAGAATGAGTGTAAACATAACTGTCTTGATAATATAGCATGCCAAAAAAGTGGTCTCCTATGGTCAACTTACCCTGTGTATGGGGTAAGTTGACCATAGGAGCGGGGTAAGTTGAGCCGTATCCCTACTACCCCAGCTTTCCCTCACCTTCTCTCTCCCTAAATAACAGTCACTTCTTCACATTCACGTGTATTTGTATCTATTATACGCTATTCAACTGGTACAATAGTTCTTTTTTTATTTTTGCATATAACTGTTAAAAAGCTGTTTTGTAAAAAAAACATTTTAACATGAGAATGCCTTTAAGTGATTCAGAAGATTCACAGCTGTATTTTTGACAAGAAAAAGTAAAACATTTCAACAATCTGAACTGAAACTCTGATCCTCTCATCAGACTCCTTTACTTTCTCAGTTACCCCAGAACTACTATTATGACTTTATTAGTCCTCTAAGCTAAAATGGTGGACTTTTCTGCTAGGTTTTTGACCTCCTGTTGTAGCTCATAGATACCACAATTGATGTATAAAACAAATGATCTTTTTTTGGTCTGAACACAATTCTAATAAAACTTATGACAGACTAAATTCACTTTCAAGAGAGAAAAATGTTGTTGTTTTTTTGCTATAAATGTGTAACCCCTTCACCCATGTGCTTCTAACCTCCACAGACTCTATAAATTGATGCCCATCTCCTAAATATTTGGTCACATGATCACTTTCTTTTACCATTTTTAAGCAACAGGGGGTGGCTCAACTTACCCTTTGGCTCGACTTACCCCACTCTCCCCTATATCGTATAATCTACACACGGTGTTACTGTCCCTTTAAGACGCCCGGTCTGACGCTCAGCGCCCAATCGCGGCGCGTAAACTGAACTTTGTTGTTGTCAGCAACTAGCAGCTAAAATAGCTTCAAGCTAGCGCTAGCCGGTGTGAACATTAGACGTTTCTTCCGTTAACAGTGATAAATCAGCTACGGTAAGGGTTGTGTGAAGTCGTAACGGTCCGCAGTCTCTCGTACAGGATCACCGACCTCAGGAAAGATGACTTCTGCACTGGTGAGTGGAGTTTACCTGATAACTGTGTAGAAGTTTTAGCATTTCATAGACCCCAAAGTTAAAGTTGGTTTGCGGTTGTCCTCATCTTTCTGTGGAGAAGAATGAACGGTGGTTTCTCCTGATATCCAGAGTAAAATGTCCCGTAAAATTAGTTTTGGTGAGGTTGGATGGTAACCTAGCAACCAAGAGACAAGCCATAGCTTCATGTGTAAAAGTGTCAGGGATATTACAGTAAACAGGGTAAAGTGGAGATATATCAGTTTGGGTAAAGCTACACAGACAACTAAAAGTCAATAAGTAAACCAGCCTAGGTTTTTAACGTCTTAAACACAGCTGATGTTGAGGTTGTATGTCAACACGTGAGAAACTTAATTGTCATATTAAAGTAAATGGAGTTACAGAGTTAAAAAATTGTCGTGCATGCAGCCCAGGTGTGACATGTGTCAATCAAAGTGTAACATACCTGTATATTTACCCTTAAAAATCTTTAATATTTATTGATCTATGGAGGTAAGCTATTCTGTCTCTCACCCAAGAGCATTAAACGAACTGATGTTTGGGTTTACTTTGGATGAAGAGCTATGCTACAGTAGAAACACAGGTATTATGCGGATTCAGGGCAGAAAAGCTGTGAGTTGGGGCTAACATAAACTAAATTGTGTTTCCTTATGTATCTCACCTCCTATCTTTATCCCACTAATGAACAATTTCATTGTGCATCACGTTTTCTTATTTTGTGCCTGTCTGCTGCTGAACTAATGGTGGAAAACTAATCCGTTCCTTGAAAAAAAAAGTGGTTTATCATTAAACAGGTAATGGTTTGAGCATGTTTTGCCAACAGTAGGGGAGAGTGGGGTAAGTTGAGCCAAGAGGTAAGTTAAGCCACCCCCTGTTGCTTGGTAATAGTTAAAGAAATTGATCATGTGACCAAATATGTAGGAGATGGGCATCAATTCATGGAGTTTGTGAAGGTTAGAAGCATATGGTTAAAGGGGTTAGACATTTATTTAAAAAAAAACAAAAAAACATTTTTCACTCTTAAAGGATGATCAGTGAATTTAGTCTGTTATAAGTTTTATTAGAATTGTGTTCAGAACAAAAAATGTAATTTTAAATTTGTTTTATATATCAATTGTGGTATCTATGAGTTACAACATGAGGTCAACATGAGGTTAAAAACATAAAAGTCCACCATTTTAGCTTAGAGGACTAATAAAGTCATCATAGTAGTTCTGGGGTAACTGAGAAAGTAAAGGAGTCTGAGGATCAGAGTTTCAGTTCAGATTGTTGAAATGTTTTACTTTTTCTTTTCAAAAACACAGCTGTGAATGTTCTGAATCACTTAAAGACATTCTCATGTTCAAATGGCTTTTTACAAAACAGCTTTTTAGTTGTTATATGCAATAATAATAAAAAGAATGATTGTACCAGTTGAATAGTGTATAATAGATTAAAAAAAACACATAAATGTGAAGAAGTGACTGTTATATAGGGAGAGAGAAGGTGAGGGAGGGCTGGGGTGGAGAGTGCCGGGTGGTAGGGGGGATACGGCTCAACTTACCCCATACATGGGTCAAGTTAACCATAGGAGACCACTTTTTTTGTCATGCTTTATTATCAAGACAGTTCTGTTTACACTAATTCTGATGGTTTGCAGGGATGCACAACAGCTTGAAATATATGGAGATACACTAGTTAGAGACAAAACTATGATTGCCTTGATGTAGTGATCTGAAATATGAAAAATGGCTCATCTTACCCCACTCTACCCCATATTTTATGGGAAGATTAGAAAAACAACTTTAAAAAGATGATAAATATGACTCAGTGCCGCTGCAATCTTTGGGGAGTCTGGTCTTCATCATCATCTAGCGAATGATGATTAAATTTTAAATGCAGAAATGTGGTTTCTCCATGTGTTTGAGTTTAGCCGCTTGTCCCTAAGTAGCAAGAGTGAAGGACTAATCCCTGCTGACACCTGTGAGACAATGGTTTGCTATGGAAGAATGACATTAGCAAGTCAACATCTTCGTTAAGACGACATTTTTTTATTCACATATATTAAAAAATATTCATATAAAAGCAGAAAATTGTAAAATATAAAACTTCCCACAGTCCAGCCCCCACTAACACAAAGAAAGGAGTCTTTGGGATTTGTTTGGGTTAACTGTCGACGCCATATTTGTCAAAGTGTCTCATGATGATGCCCAGCTCCAGCTCCACTGTTCCCATGGCTTCGGTGTGCAGTCTGTACCGATCCGCCCCGCTGTACACCAGGTCCGGGCTGCGGAGCTGCGGACCTCCGCCGACAAACATCTGCGATAGCTGCTCCTGCCAGGAGCCGAGCGGTCTCCAAGTCACACATTTGACCCGGTGATGTCCCGGGCTGGATGGGACATGGCAGTAGCCGTAACCGTACAACTGGCAGCGGCCGAAATAGTCTTGATGCCACACTTGGAGATGAAGCTTTGGCCATCCTTGAAGTCCCTTGGTAGAGAAGTGCAGATCTATGGGGTGGCTCCAGTACGCCATGTCTCCTGTTTGGGGGAGATCTACTTGAGTCTGACCCTCTTTCAACCCAGAGAGGAGACGCCATGCTCCTCCTGTGTGAACTCCCCACTTACAGAAAAGACTGCTCTCCGGAAAACCAGTGGCCCCAACAATTTGACCGATAATATGCAGCTCAGCCATGTTGTAAGCGTTTCCCTTTTACAATTACATACGGCGTTTGTAGTCTGCTCTCCTCGCTCTTTGTGTTTTCAGGGCTAATTCAACAGCTAACAGCTACTAGCGCCACAGCTCGCGTCTCCTTGGCAACACCCGGTAATGAGCGCGGTATAAATCCCCCCGAGCATGACTCTCAAGGCACCCCTCCTTGTCGTGGTGATCCCATTGGTTTCGTAACCATTGTGAAGATACAATGCTTATGCTGAATATTTGCTAAACTAGACGTATTTTTTCCACTTTCTCCTTCAAGATAACCAGATCTATTAAAGGAGCCAGTTGGAACCGCTGTACAACCTAAGCGAAGCCGCCTGACAGGCAAGACGAAGGGGAAAATGTCATATCAAGTCACCGCATTTGACGTGTTTCCTGTCATGCCATTTTTTTGAAAACAATAAATCAATACTTTCTCTCTCGATATAATTCTTGATGATAAAGTCGAACATTTTACGTTAAAACGAAACCATAAATTTATTATTATTATTTTTTGCACTGGAATTGCCTTCGGTATCCAAGTATCTATTCAATGTGAAACAGCGCCACCCTGCGGCTGATGTGCCCTTTAATTATGGTAACTTACCATCTACATTACTAACATTTATTACTTTTTATTCATAAACTTTTACAATTGAGCTGAATTGTATTGGTAAAGGTTACGAGGGAGAAAAGAATAAGAACAAGAAGAACTTTGTCGATCCCCTAAGGGAGATTCAATTGTCCTCAGTCTTCAATTTGTCATGTCTCTAAAAGTCATCTGCTATTTACAGAAGAGTTGTAAAGTCTGATGTCTGTGGGTACAAAAGATCTTCTGAATCTTTCTGTCCTGCAGTGAAGAGAGAGGAGCCGTCCACCACCGATGTCCACTCTCTGACATTTTTACTGCAATATGAAAGAAAACAATACAAAAATATCGTGTGGTTTTATTGAAACTATTAAATTAATATTCAACAATAACCTCTTCAAAAGATTTTGACTTACAGTGTATTTTTTTTCTAATAAAACAAAACTTCAGCCCTGTACAAGTAAATCAGACCCTACATCTACATGAAATCCACAAGGCGGTTTTTACAGGACAGTACTAAATTATCAACAATTAATCTAATATCAGTTGACAGCTAGTTAAAGCTTAATTTGTCTGCATCAAATGGTGTTAAATGAATCGCCATATGCTGAAGCCTTCAAACCGGTAAAATTCTCACGCTGGATGACGAAAAATGATTGTACACCTGACATAATTTCCCAATTTATAGCTATAAATAAAAAAAAGTTGTTAGCATTTTATTGCAAAGGCTTAAATCGCAATATTGATGGTTTTGTCGATTGTTGTGCAGCCTTAACACACATCTCAAATAAATATGTTTAGATTGAAGCTCTTTTTTCTTACAGAAGTACTTATTAGATGAAACAGCTTTTTAGAGATGGCTTTGTTCACATGCTTCAATCTGTGCTTCTGTCTCTTTCTTCTTTCAGTCTGATCCAACTTTAGAGAGACACTTTAAGGGTCATAGGGAGACTGTGACGAGCGTGGACTTCAGCTGCAACATGAAACAGATTGGTACCTGATCATTTATTTTACCCTTTTTAATTGTTTTTCTGGAGTATTTCTCTGCAGCGGTTTGCTGTTTTCCTCTTACTTGATGTTCTTTGTTTCTCCCCAACATACATTATTTACTAACCCGTGCTTCCTCCTCCTCCAGCAACCGGCTCTATGGACTCCTGTGTGATGATCTGGAACATGAAACCTCAGATGCGAGCGTATCGTTTTGATGGACACAAAGATGCTGTCATGTCTGTTCAGTTTTCTCCCTCGGGGCACCTAGTGGCCTCTGCTTCCAGAGACAAGACAGTACGCCTCTGGGTTCCCAGCATGTAGGTTTGAAAATATTCTACCTTTGTTTAGCACTGCGCCTTTCTTTTCTTCTTCTTACTGTTTTCAGTCTGACAGATCCCGCAAAAGACAATGGTGACTCATAGAATACAACAAAAACCAGACAGTTCCTCTCAACTTTCTGCTTCTACCAGCACAGATGAATGCACATATTTCTCAGCAGCTCCCACTGTTTTTGAAGTAGTTTGTTTTTATAAACTCTACTGTTGTCAATGCGCAGGAAGGCTGAGTCAATGGCTTTCAAAGCTCACACAGCCACCGTACGCAGCGTTAACTTTTCTGGTGATGGACAGACTTTGGTCACAGCCTCTGACGACAAGTCGATCAAAGTGTGGGCTGTCCACCGGCAGAAGTTTCTCTTCTCCCTCAACCAGCACATCAACTGGGTCCGCTGTGCCAAGTATGATGCACACACACACACACACACATACATACACACACATATAGGTGTAGTTTTCATGGTTAGATGTCATTAGTTACCACACACTTTTCTACTCATTCTGTTATTTTTGTATTTGTAGCACTAAGATTTAACAGAGACTTGTTTCATGAACATGTTTGATTTCTAAAGCTGAGGGATGTGGCCAGTTTGTTTTTTCTTTTAATCTAGGAATATTCAAATCATTTCTTTCAGGTTTTCCCCTGATGATCGATTGATCGTGTCGTCCAGTGATGATAAGACCATAAAGCTGTGGGACAAAAATAGCAAAGAGTGTATCCATTCTTTCTACGAACATGCAGGGTGAGCACTGAACACACTACAGGATGCATAGACGAAATGTTATGTGTTTGAGACAAGCAGAATCAATGTTTTTAGCATTGTATTTGTCTAAATATTCAACATCAATTGCGTCATGTGCTGCTTTAATTTCTCAGCAAGCGGAAAGAGAACCGGTCAACTTTTTTTTTCACTTAGCACCGATGATTTACTCACTTATCTTAGTGCATCAGCTAACAACCTCAAGTGATATTTTTAATTAAACAGTGGAAAACCACTTCCTACTACAAAAAAAAAAGGCTCAAGTACTAAAGAGGCTTGACCAAGACCTTATTTCTCCCCAGTTATGCAAACCAGGTGGATTTCCACCCTAGTGGAACGTGCATCGCTGCGGCCAGCACAGACAACTCTGTGAAGGTGTGGGATATCAGATCACATAAGATGCTGCAACATTATCAAGGTAACAACTCCTCAAACATTACATGAGGGATGAGTTTTGACTACAAATGAGGATATTTAGGGATCATGATTAATTGTTAAAAAAAAAAGTACAGTTTTGATTCAATCAAAGCACAGATAGGGTCTGGTTTACCAAGAGGCTAAATAAGGAGAGCTAAATTGTGTGTTCAAGACTGTCTTGAGCTTATATTGAGGTTATGAATCAGCTTAAAAAAAACACAAGAAATCTGAGTCTGATTTTTAGTTTCTGCCAATGTTCCGACACGTCTTTTATTCCAGGAACAATTTCATATGAAGAGAGAGAAAGAATAAAACAGGGACAAGTAGGCTGGACAAAGAGACTCACTCCCACTCGACTCTAATACAATGACGCCTCGTCTTGAACCACATTTAGAAATACAACTGAGGCTTACCACAAACCACTGAAATAACAACATGATAAAATTAAGCCTTTAAGCGAATGATTAAAGAGGTAGATTTCTCGCATATTTAATTAAGTAGGTAACAATGCCTTCTGTCAGCCCTGCCACTCAGTCTGATTGTTCTAATTAGCGCTCACAAATGGGTTTGAGTTGTTGTGAGATCTAATAAAGGATAATCACATCTGTCTGGAGAGACAGCATGGAGATAAAAGCGTTTTCCTCTCCTCTCCTCTTGTTTCTCCTCTTTCCTACATGTCTTCATCCACCAAACTGTATATAATCACCCATCCTGCCATCAAATGAGTATAATAATAATAATAATATAATAATAATTTTATTTATATAGCACCTTTAAAAACAGAAGTTTACAAAGTGCTTAGACAACAGTTGTAAGCACAGAGCATCAGCACATTGAAAATAAAAACACATAAAAACAAAAGCTCTGTTAAAAACAGGCCTCTGAATTGTAGGCCTGTTTCACTTTTGGTAAGAAACCATATAACAGTCTGGCTAAATTACAGTTTGGTTATCATAAAGTTGAAACCAGTGGAATTATTGTAAAAACAGATGTTGTCTTTTGGGTGGTTTTGTGTTTAATTAGGTGTTAGCTTTCGCACTATTCTATTATAGTAGAAGCCTTACCAAAATAACAACCCCCCTGCCTCTTGTTTACAGTAATTTATCATTTTTACTGCACTCGAGGTACAAGTATTTCTCTACTTGTCATAGCATTTAGCAGCCAGCAGAGGGCGTATGTAACTTATTAAATATCTGCTGTCTTGATTTTTTTTTGTCAGACCCAGTTACCTCATGGAGGAAAAGCTCCAGGTCAGGGAAAGTTTTGATTAGATCTCATAAACGTCAAAGCTCTTACATTAAATTTTATGATACGATATGTACCAATACAAACCTCATGTTGAGCCTTTTTTTGAGTTTCACAGCAACAAAGGTATTATGATTTACAGCAGCAGTGCTCCTCAGTGGGATCCAGGCAACCGCATCAGTAAGCATCTGTCTTGCTGAAGTGTCCACGAGCAAATGGTTGAACCTTTTATTGCTCTTTAGGCGCTGTTTTTATAACCAGACTTGTCCTCTGATGTCTAGTTTAGGGAGAAATATTCGAGAATGTTTACCAAAGTATGTTTATGGAAGATAGTTTCTTAAACATAAGTTTCCACCTCAACAAGTCATGGCAGCATCTCTTAAAAAACACGATTTATATTCATGTGTTTCTTTCGTTTGTAAAGGGATCTCGTACAATATGAAAGAGAAATAAACACTCTCAGTCAATAGGTTAGAATGCTGGGTTTGTTGACATAATTAATTCTCATTTAACTATTTAAAAAGGAAAATAAAATGTGTAAGAATAAACAAACAGCAATGAGTGTTCTCCTTTTTTCTTGATTGTTTAATTAATTCAAATTTGAGGGTAAAAAAAATACTTCTCCTGTGTGTGTATGTGTTTGTTTTCCAGTCCACAGTGGTGCAGTGAACAGCTTGTCTTTCCACCCGGCTGGTAATTTCCTCATCACTGCATCCAGCGACTCCACTGTGAAAATATTGGACCTTGTAGAGGGCAAGCTACTGTACACACTGCATGGACACCAGGTAGATGCAAACACAAACACACACTTACACACACACATGTATCATATAAATACAATTTCAATTTCCTACAGGCCTAACCCTGTAGTTTACACAGTCGTGATGACAACAGGTCGTGTCTGTTTTAGTGTTTGTATTCCTGCGTGTGTGTGTGTTTGGAAGTTTTGGTGCGAGTGTGTTTGACATCTCCTTTGTGCCTGTTTGATTGTCTGAAGTGTGCGAGTGTGTGCATCTGTGTGTGTGTATGATGCCTTTTTTTGTACATGGTGTATTTTAGTACTTGCCAGGCGAGCGGGCAGCCCACTCATCGTGACTCATCTCAGGGTTGTTGGAAGGAAGCAGAACAGTGTATCTGCCTCCATTTCTCTGGATCCTCTCCTCCTCCTCCTCTTCTTCTTCTCTTCCTCCTCCTCTCTGTTTCCGTCCCATCCTTTTTCTACAACTCGAACCCTCCTCTTGACTGCGCTCAGAGGGATGTTTCAGCACCACTACTGTAATTATCATTGTTTTCCTCCTCCTCTGCCCTCATTTTCATTTACCGCCTCTCTTTTCATGCACTCACATTTTGACTGGCTGTGCGCGCTGGCCGGACGGCGCTCTGACTGTATCTGTTTGTTTGAACAGCTGATGGACTGGCCTGCTGGCTGGTCGGGGAAATCAGTGACTTGCCAGTACCACATGTGGTCCGTCTGTTTATTTATCCCTCTGTACACGTAGCCTGTCTCATGTTTTCTTTCTTTCCCCTTGTGTTACCTGTGCTTTTCTTAGAGTACCTGCCAAGACTCTTTCGTTTGTCAAGATTAAAAAAAGCAAATTTTCCCCTGTCTCTCTTCACACCTCCAAATTTGTCATCTTCTGCTCTCTGTCTCTGTTTCTGTTGTTCTTTTTGGCTCAGCGGTGACTCCACCAATCTGTCGCTGCTGAGATCGTTCAGGGTGTTAATTGTCTCTCCAGTTGCATAGTTAGATATGGGACAGACCCCCATCTGTTCGTTGTGGGTGTGTAGGTGTCTGTGTGTTTATGCCTGCTTGTCTACGCTCATGTACAATGTGTGAAAACACACGAGGGCTCAGAGGGAGTGTTTTTTCTTCTGCTGGATCTGACAAACGTGTTGTTTACCTCGCCTCAAGGGGAGCCATACCTGGCTGGGTTGAATCAGACTAATTTAGGTTAATTTGTCTCTCTGCTCCTGTGTCTGACAACTGATTTACGCATTGTGATTCAAAAGTTTTTATTGAGAAAGTTTGAAGTTTAGTACTCAAGAGCAGCTTTTAATATCTCCTAATAAAGCGGAGATTATCCTGCTAGATCTTTGTAAATAAAATGCCAGTTGAGTCAAAATACACGTTGAGATTTTAACAGTTACCCCCAATTTCCACCACATCTGGAACGGTTAGGAAAAGGCCGTATCCGCCAATCGTAGCTGATCATAACCATTCAAGTTAATGTGTCAATTTCCCCCGGCTTCTTTCCGTTCCACTGTGGATCGCAGAACTCCGCAGCTGATCGCAAGAGTTCTATTTTTTCCGAACGCCGGAGCATGGCGGATAAATTCAGCACAGATTAATCCGTGCTGGAAAGGAAGTCAGGCACAGACACAAAATAAAGCATCCGGCTTCTTATCAAAATAAAACACTCTGTGTTCCAGGCGGACCGTATGTCACACCATGCAAACGGGCGGGGACGAGCAAGTGAAAGGTTTATAGACAGCATTTCACCCTGATGACACCATGGATGAGGAGATGCTGATTTTAGAAGTCTAGAAGTAGATATCCTCCTCTGGAAGGACACAATCTACTGCTTCTATGGTTAGCCTATGTGGCTAAAGACAACTTGTTATCGTGTGATTGCATGTGAATCTGCCGAGTCTTGTGAGTTCTTGCGATTCCTGCTGTCCGTAATCCGCCACAAAATTCGCCTCACTAGCTGATCCGGTAGGAATTAGCGTACGGCGAAAATCGCCGCAGTTCTGGATCTGAGCTGTTCCGCATGCAGTTGAAATCCCGGGTTAGTATCTACCTTTTTATGCGTTAGTTTCTGTAGTCCTACTTGAAACTTAGCTGCACATGTGGAGTCTTTAATTTTTGTCTTGGTTAGGGCTGGGCGAAAAAATTTATGGATAACAAAATTTACAACAATAATCAACGTCATTTTGCCCATATCGGTATATTCTGTCTCAAGAAAATAAATAAATAAAAGTTGGTTTTGGATGTGTGTAGGTAGGCTATGGTCTCATGTCCCTTTAAGACACTGTCCTACGTCAGAGACGTGACTCCACCCCATCCAGTCTGTAACAAAGAGGGAAAGACAGGTGAGGAGATGGAGGACGGTTCAAAAGTTGTAGCGACTGGAGCGGCAGCTGAAGTAGACGAAGTTAATGTGGGAGGGGGTGAGCAGCTTGTGGAGTAGTTATCGTCCATTTATCGTTAACGAGGTGAACTGCTCAATATATCGTGATATTGATTGGGGGCCATATCGCCCAGCCCTAGTCTTGGTGTTACATGTCTCAAAACTGAAATTCTACCACGTACCAACCGTTTCTGCCAATCAACAAAGACCGAGCTAAATGTGAATAAACTGATGATTGTGCGACACATGGATGTAATCTCAGGAATGTCACCAATATGTTCCTGAAGCAGAGTCCTGAAGCTGATCAACAGCAGTCGTCATATTGGAAATGCTGACTCAACCTAATTTTTGGTCAACCGGCTAAGAAGCAAAGAGACGGGCCTTTAGCCTCCTTGCTAGCAGCTACAGTGTGCCTGACTGTCAGTCAAGTCAGCCATGCCTCTTTTGCCAAACTCATAATTTTAATATCTTAGAAACAAATGTGCTATAAAGATATGCACTTCCCACACAGTGTGTGCTGAGAGAGATGAGCTATTCAGATCTTTCCAGGCTGTAAACACATTTATTTTCCTGTAACGATTAGCTTTTTTTGATTTTGAGTGTATGTGGTTTCTGCTGCTTCCGCGGCCAGCCTCAGGCGGGCGCTCGGGGAACTGCGGTTTTGAGCACTTCTACACCGGTTTCAGTTTTCAAAGCTAAAGGTTGCTGCTCAGGTGAAAAATGATAAGATGAAAAACCTGGACAGGGGTAGTCATGTTACAATGATACAATTTCATTTAACAGACACTTTTGTCTAAAGTGACGCACATCTGAGAGTTAGTGTAGCACATGCAAAGGTTTAGATAACAACAACAATCATCAGCAGTATCGTTACCTTCATCAGTGCCATCATTGAAAATTCAGAGGAAACTGTTTGTCATCCTTTTTTGCACAACTGCCACAGTAATCAACCACAAACACCATCATGTAAGGACTTTCGGGTCCTCAGTTTGTCACTTCTATTTCTCTACTAGGTGAGTGTAACTCATCCACCCTCTGAGCACAGACACAGACAGAGGCAGTCTGCCCGTGTTCATCAGTGTGATTTCATTCAAGTAACACTCTCGGTCCTCGCCAGTGAGTGACCTCGCATATTTAGAGAGTCCCGTATTGTCTCCCTCAATGTTGAAAAAAGCCCAAAAAATCTTGCTGTTAATAGTGGTTAATGTGTCTAAAGATGTTTGCTTGCCTCAGGTTAAGTCCTGTTCACTAAAAGCATCACACTAACACTAAAAGGGTCTGTAGCATACACAAACTAAATGCACTTTCATACTTGAGTCTGATGCTGTTGTGTAAAACAAGAGGATCTTTGGATCCCAAAACTCAGGCATGTTATCAGTCATTAAAATCACAATGATATGCAATGTAAAAAAACAGCCTAAGTTTAAGTATGAAGGGTCTTTTCCGAGTAAGAAAGACTGTTGTGTGGAAATAAAACTTCTTTGAGTGTCCTGCAGTTTTATCCACATCACATGCTCCCCTTAAGTCACTAATGACCTGGTTACCCAAACTTAAACTGTGCATGAATTAAATATTGATAACTCTGAAACTTTCTTGGATGCTTTACTTAAGGATAAAATATATAAATTTATATGGGCTGAGTACCAAGGGCAGCTATACAATCTGCAATCTGATACAGCTCAAGTTAGCCCTCAGCTACCCTTAAATTAGCTGGTGCTGATTTGGTGTAGGTAGACTTTTTTTTTTCTTGTTTTACTTTTTTTAATTAACTTTTTATTGTTTTTTAACTGTATCACACAAAGACCAACATACACAAATGTGAGGAAAAGAAAGGAAAGGAAAGAGAGGAAAAAAAATAACACTCACAGAAAAACGATTACTCATCAAAAACTACTTAAAAAAATAAACTAATCCAAACATAAATATAATTACATACATCTACATACACCTCCAGCATCCTTCTTTACTCCCCCGCCCTCACAGTCACCACCCCACAACATCACATATCAGACTTCTGTCCCAGAGAAGATACAGCTCCCGTCCACATAAGAACTCCTCTCCACTGACCCTCCAATCATCCACCTCACACAGGCCTTATTGTTCAGTCTGAAAATCAGTTGATTGTAACTAGCTATTTTATTCATTTCTTGCATTAAATTGTAAAATATTTGTTTTTTCCAGTGTCTTAAAGCAATCTTATCCCTTCTGTTATTATGCCCAAAATACACACGGCGGGGCACTGAGGTAAATCCATCTCGAATACCTTATTAATACATAATATTATATTTTCCCATAGGTTTTGTGCCTTTTCACATTCATACAACACGTGTAAAAGTGTTCCCCTACTCCTCTCACACCTCCAGCACAAATCAGATTCACACAACTTTAATCGCACCCTTTTACAAGGAGTCCAATAGAGCCTGTGGATGATTTTATATGTGATGAGGCAGGTCTGTATCTCTCTATATGTCCTGTACCAGGATCTAGTTATTTCCTCTCATTTCTCCATAGTTATCTCGCCCTGCTGAACCTCTTCCCATGCTCTCTTTAGACTATCAAGTTCTGGTGGGTGAGACTGTCTCATACGACTGTAATCTTCTTTTATTTTTTAATTTTGGAGCTACATGTTGCAAACGCAACTGTTGTGTAAAACAAAAAGAACAAAAGACCTCAAATCTTTGAGTTAGAGCCAATATGCACCTTTTAATGTTTGTCATTGCACTTCTTATTAGCAATGCCGTTGTAAAAAAATCAAAGTTGATCATGTATTTCCTCATGTCATGGAGAGCTAGTAACACAGTTATACAGGTGTTTTTCCTCAATGGAATACCTGCATACCTTTGTGTCCACTCACAACAATCCATCTTAGACTTTTAATCACTATTTTAGTGCTATAAGAAACCATAATCACAGTTTTGAAACATCACAGTGTAACATGTTTTTAAACGCTCCCAGAGGTGTACTTAAATGAATATAACAGTGGATAAATTATAGCCAGAACTAGCATGTAATCATATTTTGTTAGTCATAACCTCACCATGTGGGGTCTGTCTGCCTTCAGTAACCCCAGTTCATTTATCAGTGCATAAAATGTGCCAGTTAGGTTCATTGCCCTGTCAGGCTCTGTGTTTATGTGTGTGTGTGTGTGTGTGTGTTTATGTGTGTGTGTGTGTGTGTGTGTGTGTGTGTGTGTGTGTGTGTCTGGCCATGGCAAGTGCCAGCCTGGCAGCAGGCATTAGTCAGAGCCGAGACAGAACATGCTGTCTGTCAGGCCGTCGCGTTGCCATAGTGACACTGTCTGCTTCTCTCAGGTGCTTCTGGGAAACCATTCCTCACCCAAACCAGCCTGTCTGGGTGCCAGCCGCAGGACACAGCAGCTCCTTTTTTTTCCTCTTTCAGCAGCCTCCCAGTGTGTTTCTTTTTCCTTTTCTCCGGTTTGTTCTCTCCTTCATCTTCTCTTTGAACACAGTCAGAGGGCTGGGGCTGTAATCGTGACCCCATTCTGCATTGTAAGGTAGAGAAAAGAGTGAACCTAGAGAGAGGGTGGTTTCTACCATTTTTGAAAGCCCGGAGTCTGTCTTTGCTCAAGGTTCGTAGCAAACTAAGACAAACACACACACACTCAGAGCATACCACAGCCCTGACTTCCTCAGGTGATCGTTTTTGGCTCTGACCATGGGTGACCTCATCCCCACCTGCGTCTCTGCTTTCTAGTATTGATTGCTCTGCTAGAGCCCCACACGCCCACCTCCTCCTCCACAAGCATATGAAGGAGATTCTGTTCAGAGTAAAGTTTTGTTTCCTCAGAAGATATGAAGACTTTTTTTTTAAGATATAAGCTATACACACACAAAAAACCTTCAGTTCTCTCCAGCCTTTGTCTTGTAATTGATTGTGCCCACTTCTCAAAAGTGGGGTTTTATTTTTATTTTGCAGCCTATATATTGTTACATACTGTGGTTTTTACTTCCTCCTATACTTTATATCACTACATACACTCTCACTGCGACTACATCTGCAGAGGAAAAATATTTGATCATTCATATCAATTTTTATATTGAATATTGGATTTGATATCAATATATTATTCGTTTAATGTATTATTACAATTTATTATTCATTATTCAATATAATATTCAATCATATTGACTTTCCCTTCGAGGATAAATAAAGTTCCTATATTGCTTAAATGCAGGCTTTGGAAATGAATGAACTGGCTGAAACAACATATTGATAGAAGATTTATTTTTCTTCATGTTCAAAGCTGCATCAAGCAATGATGTTTTATATGACTAATCTATTATTTTGTGTCTAAACTTACAAAAAAAACATTTCAAAGAGTTTTCCTGTCCAGTAACACTAAATACCCGCTGATATAGGGCTGAACAATTTCAGAAAATAATCTAATAGCGTTTTTTTGCCTCAAAATTGCGATTGCTCCTCCTCTTCTAATGTGTTTTTTAACAAACACAAACAATAAATCAATCTGTATTATCGTAAACAATATCAGATTTATTATACATAAATTAGGGTTGCACGATATATCGTTTGACCTGCTTTGCTTCGCTCCACTCCTAAGTCACGTGACCAGATCAAGTGACCAGTCAAAATCGCAGCCTTTGTGGTAAGAAAATTGCGTTTCTCGTATCCAGATATCATCGCAAATGCAATTAATCGTTCAGCCCTACACTGATAGGATTTTTTTTTTCATATCAACCATCGCTTTGCTTAATTAACTTGACCTGATAGTTTACGACTCAGAGATCCAAAAAGCCTCATTTTGTAAGATAATTCAGGGGAAAGATTCAAATATTCTGTCTCTTTCTGTCTCGTCCTGCCGTCTCCACAGGGTCCAGTGACTTGTGTGGCCTTCTCCAGGACTGGAGAGTACTTTGCCTCTGGTGGTTCAGATGAACAGGTGAGGATATTTTCTTCCAGATGTATCCTAAACTTCAGTTTACTTAAGTCTGTAGCCAAAGGTCAGTCATTATTCTACAGGGGAAAAGAAGAAAATGTGTTTTGACATCTAATGAAGCAATACTGTTAAGAGTTAATGACAATCTCTTTCTGTATTAAATTGTTTTCTTGACTTAGTTGTGTTAATTTTGGATAAGTAAAACTTTATTTTGATCTCTCAGGTAATGGTGTGGAAGAGCAACTTTGACTGTGCTGAGTGCGGTGAAGGCATCCGACCGCAGCATAAAACCATGTCCAGAGTTAAGACGCCATCAACCAGCTCCATGGCTCACCCCAACTTTAACTCACAGCCATCAGCGCTCCAAAGTCAGGTGAGTCCAGATGACTGGAGACAACCACAGCCAACTGACAGCAAATCTGCACCTATGTCCTGTTTGAACTCAATAATTCAATTCATTCCTTTATTTACTCCTTTACAACATAAACACACAACAAATATACCGAATGACCTTTCTTTTTTTATGCACATTCAATACTAAACCTCAGAGGGAGAGAATGATAGACTCTGAAAATCTTGGTCCTGAGGATTACTGCTGTATTTTTCTCTTGTGGGGAGTTTTTAGCTTGTTGGAAAAACAGACTGAAATTAATATTGATTCCTCTTTATGACCCACAAACGCAAACAAGACAATCAACAAACAACGTGACTTTTTCCATGTAGTAATTTTTATTATCTGAAACCGCTGATGGGGGGCGGGTGTCACACTAAGAGATAAACTGCACACGTGGTCCACTGCAAAGTGAAACATTTGACAGCTCAGAGTCAACAGGATGAGATCGTTTATCAAGAAAGCACTAATTACGCTTGTGCTGAACCAAATTAGCGAGACTGCTTTGTCCACAAGGGGGCACTAAAACTGACGAAAACAGAAGTTTGAAGTAAATTCTCAAATGTGCGATAAATGATGTATACACTGAAAATTTTGATGCATTCTATTAGATGAATATTAGAATTACAAATAATTAAAAGGCTTTTAGGCAAAATATGTTGTTTTATTTTTGGTATTTCCCCAGAATATTTTAGAGTAATATTCCTATAATCTACTTTTATGGTTTTGGAGTGTATTTGCCATGCTGGGGATTAGGGTGTGTATTCTCTGATATAAACACAAACAGCAGAGTAAAGACTCACTAAATCTAGAGCGTGCTCACAATTACATGCATGTGGACTGCCTGGACTCACTAATAAACCTAAGAAACACATACGCCCGTGCCCGTCAGTTATTCATGCTGACTTATTTCCTCCTGCATATCCTTCCTTTGAAGTCTGCTGTGTGGCCCAGAGCTACAGCCATATCTCACATGAAAGGGGACTACCTACTTACTCCTGCAAATACACTTTGATACGCAGGGAGGTTTTTTTTTTTCCTCTATCTCTCTGATCACACCAAAAAGATGGAATATTAATCTGTTTTCAACATATAACAGTATGCTTGGATACAAAAAGGCATTAAAACACACAACAAGTGAGTTTTCCTACAAAATTCAAGTGTCCTTAAAGGAGACATTTGGAACTTTCTGTATTTTATGTCACTGAAGTACACGTGATACTGACTTCTTATTAAATCTGACAACAAAGAGGCTTCAAATAATACCGAGACTCAATAAATGCCAAAATCAGTTATACTCTGAAATATTGAGATACCAATTAAGCCTCCCAGGCTCAGAAAGCCGGACTTGTGGCATTATCTTTTCCATTTTCATGACAGTAACTTAATAAAACATCACTCTCTGTTTTTCAGCAATCTGGACAGTCACTGATTTCACCACACCCTCTCTGACTGTCAGAGAAGAAAGTGAAGTGAAAAGTTAGCATGGGTAGCATTTCATTTAAATTTTTCTTCAACTTCAAAAGGTTAGAAAAACTTTGTCCACATTGAACGGGTTTGGTAACTCAATTTGAGAGTGATGTCCATGTCAGAAGGTTACTGCACTTTATAATAATTTAAGGCACCATACAGGTTTTTTTCTATCTGGTTGCTTGGTCGCAGATGTAGTGGTGTGCCTAAAGGCTCATTTATGCTCAACGTTACATATGGATCCGGTTAGACGACGCTCCCCGTCCATGCTTCGCGTTCATTTCCTTCCATATTTCTGCATGTATCCTTGAAGTTTATCGGTGCGGGCCAGATGGAGCAGTACCACTGAAAACCGTGGGGGCAGTGTTGCCGCTGTCCCTATCTGATCTGCATTTCTAGAGAGAAACGAAGAAGACAATGGCAGGGCTTTTTGAGGATCGTCGCTGATTTCTCTCATTGGTACTATGAGAGAAAAGAATTCTCCGTCCTCCAACTGCGAAGCATTGAGTGACTACTGCTTCCTCCAACGCTTCCTCCATTTCCGTCTCCTATGGAGAATATACGTCATCACTTTTTACTCTGGCCTGCTCCTGGTGGATGTAATGGTTAATATCCATGCCGACGTAAAGGACGCATGGAAGTATGTGGGCAGTGACGGAACCATCGTTTGAAGCAAATGCGTACATTTTCATACACATGGTGAGCATGAATGAGCCTTAACACGACACTGCTGTCACAGTCGATCAAAAGGAGGCTGGTGGTGGTGGTATTGAATTGTATCTTATCACTTAGTCAAAGTAGAAAAGCCGATTCCCAAGTTCTTAAGGTTACGTTTTTAGAATTAGCTAAAATTAAAATAAAATAAAAACCTCCAAATCTACAAGTCGGACCAAAATATTCTCTGAATGTTTGCTTGATAATGACTTAATCATTGACTTCATTATTTAAACATTGAGAGAGAGAAATCAGACGGCCAGACTGGAAAAGATAAACGATTAGAGACAAACCGAAAGTGAGAAAGAACAGCAGCCATTAGTGATGTTTAAATATTAAAAGGCCTTGTCAGATGTCACTCATTGTCTCTCTCTCTCTCTCTCTCTCTCTCCCTCTGTCTCTCTGTCTTTCTCTCTCTCACATACACACACACACACATAAAGAGGACATGGTGTCACAGCCTGGCTCGACCTCAGGGAATGGTTTGGATTTCAACCTCATTGGCTGCTACAGTGTTACTTACATGAACAAGGGCACAGCCAAGGTCCTCTCTCTCTCTCTCTCTCTCTCTCTCTCTCTCTCTCTGTCTCTCTGTCTCTCTCTCTTTCTCTGTTTGACCTGCCAGAAGTTAAGATGCACCCACAGTGATGCCGCCTTCACTTGAGACTTTATTGGAAATCAAGAATGGTTAACTGCTCTGAATTATACATACACAAAGCACTCATTCCCAATTCATTATCTCCTACTGCACATAACACCAACATAGAATTATTAGATAACAAACACTACAGTGAAGCAAAAGTTTAAGTCCAATTAAGTATGTATGGATGAATCTCTTCAACATCTACTTTACATTTCCTTTGAGTAGTGCTGCCACGAATCTTTAAACATCCTTTAAACGCCAGCCTCTTTGTGCCACCCATCCTTCCCTCCAGGCTCTTTCTTCTTCATCTCCGTCTTATTGTGTCTGTCTCGTCTGCTGCTGTGATACAGGATTGTAAATGGATTTTAATAGCTCCTCCACTAGACAGCTGTTATTACAGACGCGCCCCAAAGGGTGATTAGAAAATGGGCAGTTGAGTCGTGCGGAGAGGCATGATTAGTCCAATGTATGAAACGTATTCTCCTCTTCTGAGAACTGCTCTTCTTCTTCTTCTAAAAACCCATTTCACTGGGAGAAACGATTATACTTTACATCTCCTTTATTATCAAACAAGGCCCATGATGGTCCTGATCAGTTGTTTGCGGCATCTCTCTTTGAGCTTTAAAAAAACGCAGTTGAGAAGATGCTCTTTTAAGCAAGGGTACATGTATTTGTACTTAATTTGATTGGTGTTTTTGATGGGTTTGGATCTGGAGATACTTAATTTGATTTCGTAAGAGTCTCTCAGGAAGCTCTGGCTGTCTCTTGGTTCTTATGTAGTCAGTAGCAAAGATAAGGAATTTTTTTATCATATCAGAATCTGTTGAATTCCTTTTTTTAATTCTTTTGGGGTATTTTGTCAAGAATTAAAAACATTAATTCATAGTTTGGTCATTATGATAACAACTCTTTTAGTTTATGCTCTAAACTCTGACATTTTATGTACAACCTCACTTTTTTGTACTTTAGTCAAGAGTTATGTAGACAAAAATACTCTACATAACTTTCTGTCTGAGGATCCTTACTTGCAGAGAAACACTTCATATTTGATCAGTGACCTTTCCCATCATTTAACAATGAAGTTAACATTGTACATGATTTTAAATGTTGATCTATTTGTTAACTAACAATTTAAAGCTCCTGTGAGGAGTTTTTTTATGTATATGAAACACACTTAAATTCATAACAATGCCTTTTCCTGGTATCCAAAAGCAAATACGACCATTAGCAACAAGATCGATATTTTTATATTGTAAGTTTTAATGCTTGAAAATGTGGGAGGGTAGGTGTCAGCCAAGCAGCTGAAGAAACAGCCCTGCTCTCTATATTTCCCACATAGTATTTTCATTTTTTTCACAGTTGATGAATTTGACAGTCAAGAGTCAACATGATATGATTTTAAACAAAAAACACTACTTAAGCATGTAGAGAACAAGATAAGCAAAGACTGCTCTGCCCACAGGGGGGCGCCAAAGTTGACACAAACCAAAAAGTCCTCACAGGAGCTTTAATAATTAACTCAGTTACATAAGACAGAAAAAAAGTTTGATAAGCATTGAAATGTTTATATTTATTATATCTCAAGCTGCGCCACCATTAAGCTTTTTGATCTTTTTTTTCTAATCACTCATCCCTGACAGTAGGACTATGAGCCCAACTCACGTTAAAGAAACCAGAGAAATATAATGTTTAATAACCATATTGTTAGGAAAACCACATTTTATTGTATTTAACTGAAGTCCCACAAGGCCATTTGAACAATTACTGGAATGAGACCCTCTTTTTATTTTGAGTTACAAAGTCTCTGAAGGATTTTCTTAATACAGGACACTTATGAAGGTGAATATGATCATTTTTTTATAAAAGTATATTTCTCGTTATATTTTAGTTTTTAAATCTGAGAGATGCCAGGGATGGGCTTGTAAATCTTTCTCTGTGAGTTTGCTGGAAATATATGCAGTATGCTGTAAGTTTATTACACTAGAAACTGCATTTTTCTCGCATCTTATAATTACATACTCTTGACAGACACCATCAAAAGATGCCAGTCATGATAATGAGGCAAGTTTTTCATTTGCATGAAAAATGGTGTAAGAGCAGTCTAACCGCTGATTACACTCAAAACACAGCGATGAATTCATAATGTGGAAAAACTGAAAGTGGTGTTAATTTAAAGATTCCTGCTAATGTGAAATCTGAACTTTCCTCAGGCAACAATTGCATCTTGTTTTAATGACCAGGTTTGTTAAATATAAGGTTGGACATGCAGTATGTCAGGAGACAGAGACACGTGAGAACAAACCCTGATGAAATCTCAGTCCTTTTTTTTTCTTTAAAGCTCTTGTTCACTGCTTGATATAAAACATTTTACTCACTTAAGCTTGAAAGCTTCTCCATCATTGCCTGGTCTGCTTTCCACGTGGATCATTCTGCTTGAAGAGAAATATCCAGTCGTAAAAATGCTTTTAAAAATGACGAAGCACTACTTTGTTTTTCTATCACATGCTGATTAATTAATTTTGATTATACTAAGTAAATATTTTTGACCGGTACAAAAAAGATGAAAATAATGCTGTATTTATACTTGTAGTGCAGTTACTTGCTGAAACACACAAATGCACATTGACCCTATTAATCTCCTCAAACTTTCCTCTTTAATGAATTGTTCCCCATCAGTTGTTAGTCTTAAAGTCATGGTAGTCACTGCACCTGGAAGCAGTGGCTTCCTAGATTTTTCTTTTCATGTATAATTTAGCTATTCATAATTTATTATTAATACAGGCCCTTTCATCTCTCATAAACTGCCGAGAGTCTCGCACACGTGTTGCCAGAGGAAGCAGAGAGGAGAAAGCTGCCACCAGCTTGCCTTAGTATTATCCTGGTTATCTTCTCTCTTGGAAAGCTCATTGTCAGGCTTTTGTAAGTTTGAAAGGAGAGTGAAAAACAGAGAGAGAGCGAGATTGAAGACAGGACAAGTGGATCTGATATGCTGTTTTAAATTCACTTATTTTATGAGAGGCAGGATACATTTAACAGGATGTTAAGTCGAGGAAAACGACTTCCACTTACATGTCCAAACTTTTAGAGATTCATTTTTTTCTCACCAAAACCAGTGCTTTAAGGGTACAATGTGTAGAAATGGGAATATTTAGCAATCTTAAGCAATCAGATTATGTATCGATAATTGTGTATTCTGACATCTGAACATCACTACACATTTTCTCCATATCAGGGCTTTAAGATGAAACTTCATCTGTTGGTCAACTTTATTGATTTATTAAAGGTCACGATTGAGAAAAGCTGCTTGTGTCAGTTCAAGTATGTTGATCTGAAGACCAGCAGAAGTCCAAATGCATATTTCACCCTCCTCTGGTTATCAGGTGTAACATAGTCCCAAGTTTCAAAATGAGTTTGTCGGGTTTGTAGCATCTGTCATTGACACATTTGTGATTTTGTGTCAAAGTTGCATTCTGACGAGCATCATCTTTGAGTCGGACTGTTGATATTACACTCATCTAAGCCGACAAAAATTAAAAACAAAAATTTTGCACAAAGGCTGCGTTCTTCTTATAGATAGAGAGACATAAGCGCTGAAAAATAATTTTTAATGAAAATCAAAGAAAAAAAAAGTAGGACGCTTTTGTGGTCTCTTTCTTTTTTTGGCAAAGCTACAAGGAGCAACCAGAGAGAGGCAAAAGAGCTGCAGGTCACTGCTTCTTTTATGCCATAAATATATGTTTCTAAACAAAGGAAGGGTAGAGTTATGCTGCGTTCTTGTTACCTCGGAAGTCGGATGTTGGAGCTGGGAAAGACGTTGCACCCGAGTTGACGGTGTTCCAGTAAACAAATCGGAAAACCAAGATGGACGTCTACTGTTAGCCATTGTTAGCTGTTGTTAACAATTGTCAGCTGTCGTTAGCCGTCGTCAGTTGTCGTTAGTTGTTGTCAGCTGTTGTTAGCAATTGTCAGCGGTTGTTAGTTGTTGGTAGCTATACCAGTTGTAAACAACAAAACAGAAGTGCTAATAAATAAAACATTATGAGAGGTTTCACTGTTACTCTTCTCTGTCGATGCACTGCGCTGCCAACTTATATTATGGCGTTGGATCGTCCGACTTTCTGAATCAGAAATCCGACTCCAGGGGGCATTCCAGATGAATTTCCGAAAATCCCGACTTCTGAGCACAACTGGAACGCAGCAGTGATCATTTTGCAACTTCAGGAGTTTGTAGCACATTTCCCTGCTTCATCTAGATGTTAAATGTATAAATAATTTGGCTGAGATAAATGTGAACTATGAATATATTTCTATACCCAGGTGGTGAAGTTTGGAGAACAGACTCTAGCTTGGAAGCGACAGGTCTGCAGCCCTCTTGTCTCTGCTCCCAACCGTCTAACGTGACCGAGGTGTTAAAACCATCATCTCTAGCTATGTCAAATACCCAGTATTACACGCAGCCGCCTGTGGCTATAATTCATTTCAGCAGGAAGAAATTTGCCTAATGAGACAGTAATGCTGTGTTTATTCATACAGAGGCAAAGGCCACCCATGGCCCCTGCCCTCTCAGAATCAAATCCACTGGGATTTCATAAGCAGCTAATTTGATATGCTGATCCTTTAATGTACTTGGATGTGAAGCTCCATGATAATTTGCCAGCGATGGGCGCTATACCAGGGACATGTGGGCCTATTTGTTAAACACAATAAGCCAGCTTTAAAAGGAGGTCTCTGCAGCGAAGATTGAGAGTGTGTGTGTGTGCGCTTCAGTCAGCCTGTGTCTGAGCTCAACACAGCTGAGCAAATCTTTATGTGTGTAGGAGTAGATGCAGCCATGTGTGTTTTTGTTTGTGTTTGTGTGTGCTTGTTTGTGTGTTGTGTGCGCGTGTGCCAACCACTGCTGACAGGCAGATCAGCTCTCTCTGATCACATCCGCTATAATCCCTACACCCCCCCCCCCCATGCTCTCTTCCTCCCCCTCCTTCCTGTCTCTAGCTTCACATCTGGGTCTCTCTCCCGCTCACGTGTGCAGACAGACGAGCCGTACACTCTCAGCAGGCTTCCCCTCACACACACACACACACACACACACACACACACACAGATCACTGCACCGCTCGGTTCAGCTTTAGGATGTGGATTGGCGAGCGAGTGAGGGGGGGGTTCTCTGACTACAGTCGCTGTTTGAACTTCTATCTCCTTCAGCGCCATTAGAGACAAAATAGGCTGCTTTGACTGCGTTTTAGTCAACCGAAACCTAACTGTCTCCTAGGATAGAAAAAAGGTGTGTTTCTGCAGTGTTTGTGCATCTCTACAGTGCTCGCACGGAGAGACAGGTGTTTCTGTTCTGATAGGAGGAGTTAAATTAATTTGACAGCAGGAGGATAGAAAGAAGCGAGCAAGAGAGGGGAATGCAAAGGGGTGCAACGAGGGAGTGTTGAAGACAAGATAGTGATGGAGTTAAAGAGAGCCTAATGGTCTAGTGGAGCGAGAGAACATCCCAGAGAAACCGGCAGAGAGGGAGAGGGACGGAGAGAGGGAGGGAGAAAGGTAGCAAAGTGAGAAAGCAGTGTGAGCATGTGAGGGAGCTAGACGACACGAGAGCACAAGAAGACGAGGAGAAAGATCAAGACGGCTGAGAAAGATGAGTTGAGAGGGAATTTGAGAGGCATTAGCAGACACGTTACATCCATGTTACACCGGGGGAGACAGAGAGAGATTAAAAGAGAACGAGATCAGGAGGAAGAGAGGAAAAAAAGGGAGGCAGAAAATAGAGAAAGAGGAGTGAGTTAAAGAGAGGTGAAATGGAAAATGAGAGTGAGGAGTGGACTAAGTAGCATTAATAAGAGGGAAACACCCTCCCCTATAGCTGAGTTCAGAGGCATAACTCAGAGCTGAGTCACTTCACAGGCTTCATTCATCAGACAGCATCACTCGCGGTTTAGCTCTGAATGTTTGCACCACTCTAATTAACTGATTTGTCAGCTGTCAGTGGACAGATTAGTCTATATTTCATGGATGTATTATAACACAAACACACACAAACACACTTTTCACCTTACCTGTTCAATGAAATAAATGTGTTTTTAAATGTTTGGCATTTTCAGGCCCCTTAAGGCGAAAATGGATTGTCTTTACTTGTAAATCCTCTCCTCCTTCGGAGGTTTCATCACCTAGTGTAAGATATTAGAGCTGAATAGCTACCACCAGCTATGCCATCTGTGTTCAAAGTAATGTAAAGCCATTGGCATTAATTTAACTTAAACACAGACATTATTCTCAGACAGTTAATTAACACTCTGTAGCCCGCTGAACGGCGACAGCTGGTGTCAACACATATTGTTCTCTTGGGTCCATACTGCTGGTTTTTATGTATATAGCAGAGATGGGGAACTACGGAGTTATATGTTTACAGTGAGGCTGTGATGGAGTTGGAAATTTTTGCCTCTCTTTCCTGGAAAATGGATGAATATGCCACTCTTGTTGCATTTGTTCTGGTAGATGGGACTTGTCTCTGGTCTCTAAAATTCCATTACCATTTGACCTTATTTTAGACAGTCCAGCTGTAAAGTCCTACTTGACTGGTCGACTTATTGGTCGATACACGCTGAGTCGACCAAAATTCTGATTGGTCGACTTGATTATCTTCCGCGTCAATTTACTGTCTATGGTTAATTTCATAAGGAGCAATGTACCAAGTGCTAACAGAGGTGTTTTCAGGGCAAAGCTGTCTCAAAACACCCCCCTCGTTTTCACCATTTTGGATTCACCCAACCAACTGGAGATTGGCTGGAGACAGAAAGATTGGAGTTAATCAATGTCCAGTGGTTTGCTGAATATTTATATTTTAGCCTTTTGTGTTTAATTGCCTTCTTGTGCTGATATCAGTATATTTTCACCCTGCCGAGCCCCGCTCTGCCAAGCTGCGTCGTTTGCAAAGGGGTTTGCCGTCAGAGTCGGAAAAATCCAACAGGGCCCAACCGATGCCGATACCGGTTATTAGGGGGAAAAAAAATCCGATTACCGATTAATCGGCCGATTATTTAAATTTTTATAAAGTTCTTAAAAATACATATATACTGTACGTATCTACAGCATACTATATACTCAGATCTGTCACTCTGCTGTGCTGTGAGGTGAGTGGATGAAGATTGTCATGAGGTCGCTGCGCCATCTACAGGATAAGTCGGGGAACTTTTCAAATGGCGGAACATTTTCAAAGTGAAACCGAATCTTATTCTCTGCATTTTATTTCTGAAAATATTGGCGAAAATCTGTGAGTTTTTGATTACCGATTAGTCTCAAACAGGCTAAAATCGGTCGGGCCCTAAAATCCACCCCCCAATTAGTCGATTTTTGGTCAAACATTTAAGGGTTCTAGTTGACCAAGAATTTCTTTGGTTGATTACAGCCCTACCAGCTACACTATTTAGGATTATGCAGGTTTGAAGTATGGCTTTGATTGTATCTAAAATTTAAAACAAAAATAAAGTATAAGATCATAATTCATTTCATTGCAGATGATTGTATTGGGGCTGTGTTAAACTACAAGCCATAAAATTTGATGATCTTGCTTTATTTAGTTGATGCCTTTAAAGACAACTGATATAGAGATAAAGTATAAAGTTCTGGACTCAGTTTTATCCGTCAGTCCGTTGGTTTTCTTCCACTCATCCGGTGTCAGATTGGAGTGGCAGCAGGATAAGACAGCCCTCCCTCAGCCACATTTTCCAGCTTCTCCCGGGGGATTCCAGGGCGTGCCCAGACCAGATGGGATGAATAAATCCCTCCAGGAAGTGCTAGGTCTAGTTGCACGTACTCATAAAAACCTGCAAAGGGAAGCCCCAGGAGACATCCGAATCAGATGTCCGAGCCACCTTGGCTGGCTCCTTTTAAATGTGAGGGTGGCTCTCATCCGAGCCCCCCTGTCACTAAAGCTTAGGTTACCCCTCATGTCGGCCGTCCCATTCTTTTAGTCTCTACCCGAAATCATACAAGGAGATCTGATTATAAGTAAAATGATGAATTGAAATTGTAATTTTATACCAGCTATCAGCCAACAAGTTCTCTTAGTATCTCTATTGGCATCGTCTGTTGAAATTTGATATGGGTGAACCACTTACAAGGACTGAAATCTCTTTTTTTGTTGATCTTCTTTATTTTTTTCACTGAATAAAAGAATAAAAATCCAATTTGCAGGCAGCAGTTAGCCAACATAGGTTACAACATAATCTAAATGCTGAAATTCATCTGCATTTCTGCACTCACTCTTACAGAGAAGCATCTGCTGTCTGTATTTGGTATTCTTTCTGAACACTGGTGTTTCGTAACAATGCTGAAACCCTTTGAGAGAAAAAAATCCAGTTCCTCAGTTAACTCTATCCTCAAAAGACCTCGCTAGGCGGACATTTTGATGTTTGCATGACAGCTAATGACGACCCTGTCTGTCAGACTATTGGGCCGGCGTGTACCATTCCAGAGCTCTGGCACCAGCGCACATATATGAGGTGTAGCCATTATAAGAACAATGAGTAACATGCCTGTATTTGACAAGACAGATTGTAACTTAAAGAAAGCTGTATCAGTCATAATCCACCTGTATAGTATAAGATACACAGCAAACAGGACGACTGTTTCTGCTCTTTCTCTTCAGATTGCGATAGCACCCTTGAGTTTGTAATGGTTTTAGTATTTGAGCAATTACACTGGTGATTGACAAGGTTTAATGTGGTCAATATACTCGTGACAAATACATGACAGAGAAATGAGAATCCCATATTCACAAATTAATAAAGTTTTGTGGCAAAAAGTGCTTTAGATGGTCAGAAATAAACACGTAAATGTTTTACAGAGCTGGAGAAAAAAAAAGAGCAGAGAAATGGACTTAACTGCGATTAGACAGTGATAGTAAATGAATCCTCTTCTTAATAGACGGATATGTAATCTGTCCATAATAATAATAATAATAATAATAATACAACTGTCTTGTCGGGGTCATAATGGCCTTGGTACATTTGCCTACTGGTATAAAGATAAAACATCACCCGTGAGAGTGGGGAAATAATCTAATCCTGTCAGAATCACCTTTTTTCCTCACTAATAAAATTAATTTGGGTTATTTCCAATTTTCGATTCTGAAAAATGTTTTTGTTTTTTGTCCAAGTTAATTTAAATCTTAAAACGTTTCAAAGTCACTGAAAATTTAGCAGCAGTAAGTTAAGCATAAATAAACGTCAGCCTTTGTCTTTGGTTTGCCTCTACGTTTCAATTTTCAAAATAAAAGCTGCTTTTTCCTGAGCACATTTGACAATGTTTTTATATTTTATGTAATGGACAGTCACTCAGCTGGCTGATTTATTTGTCCATTTGTAAAAGTTAGAGAATTTACCATCAGTCAGGAATCTGTCTAAGCTAAGAATTATTCATGATTGAAAAATAACATCAAAATTAAATCAAATTGAAAGACTCAACCCCAATCACCAGGAAGTATTAATAACAGGCGAGCAAAGATTTATTCGAAGAACCACCTTAAATAATAATAATAATAATAATAATAATAATAATAATAATAATAATAATAACTTTATTTTTATTGCACTTTAAAAAGAGTTTACAAAGTGCTTTAACATGCAGGAAAACAAAGAAGATAAAAACATAACAAGAGAACACTTGGAAATGTCACATTACTGGCAATAAAGAAATAAACTGAAATAAAAATTGGTGGAAGACATAAAAGCTTTGATGAATGTCACATGAGCTGAGAGGTCATTAAGACATTAAAACAAAGACATTATAAGAGCCTGTGATACCCAGCCAACACAGGAACCCAATCACAGAATATCTGAGACCAAGGGGACTATTATAACACATGAATAAGAAACATTAAAGGTTTCAAAGAAGACAAAACCACATAAAAGCAAGTCGATAAAAATTAGTTTTAAGATGTGATTTAAAAGCAGTAACTGTTTCTAATAAAAAATTGAGACCAAAGTTGCAACAGCGAAAAAAAAATTGAGAGGAAAAAATAAAACCTTTACAGAAAAAAGTTGTAAATTTATCAAATTCTCGCGTGTCTCTTGTCTTCCTCTTGCCTCTGACAATTCTGGGTGAGGAAGTTGCTGCATGTAAAACAGACAGTTTTTTCATGCAGGTTGCCGGCTGTATCGATGGTTCTCCATGTCAGACTCTGGGTTTAATTTGGGCCTCGGGAAATTTTCCACTGTTGGTTTTTCCACTCCAGGTGATTCACTAGGAGGGTGGTTACTGTGTGTGCTGTAGGTGTGTGTACACGGGTGCGGATCAGGGTTTTCCCCTCGCCCCTCGTAAGGTTACGGTGGTACGAGACGTGTTGAGTTTCCAGACAATATCATGTTTTAGCATCAACATTGCTATGTGCTCATGTCACAGGGCAAAGTGAGGTAGAAGGTTAATAAAGCCCACCGTGATTTTAACTCCAAATGTTTCCATCTAAGAGCACAAATAACTGTATTCTTAATTTCAGCAGGACTTTTACATATAAATACACATTTTATTAACTTTATCTGCCCATTGAAGAAACTCAAAGCTTTCCTCCAAACTGCAAACACATTCATGACTGCCTTTTTTGTGCGAGCATGTGTGTTTTGATGGGACCAGGGGCTCGTTGTGTGTTTGAGCAGCTGTTTTAATACAAAGCTATAAGTCGTACATTCAACAAGAGTTAATCCAGTCTTGGTAGAGCTTGTGGGCTCAGCAGAACTGCTCTATTGTCCTCTCTCATTCCCCCTCTCTTTCCTCCTATCTTTGTGCCACCATGACAGAAAAATCACAGCCGAAAACTAAACAGTTGGATCCTCAGTGGCAAAGTAGCCAAAGATCTTCCATCCTCTGCATTTCAAACATGGTCCACGTTAGGGCTGGGCGATATAGCCTCAAATCAATATCAGAATATAATGAGCAGTTCACCTTGATAACGATAAATGGACGATAACTACTACAAACTATTTAGGGACACTAAGTTTTGGAATTAGCTTTGAGAAGTCATCTTTCTTAGTGTCTATGCAAACATCAATTTTCTTGTAACACAGGTGCTCAAGCATTCTGCTGTAATTTCCCATGAAACACTGGGACACTTAGTAACCAACTGTGACTTTGGTGATAAAAAGTGATGCTGCACATGGTACAGGTGTTAGCAGTGTCACTGGAACATACTGTGAAAACATTTTCATCAATAACGATTTCTTTCCTTTGTGTGGGATCTAACCTGTCTGTAGCTCAGGCGTGCACAGTAATGTGTACTGAGAATAAACCGACTCGTGGACCAGCTGCAAGTCAGTGGAAAAAATCCTTCAGGGTGCTGAGCTCTTCTTTTGCCATTTTCCATCTCAGTGTGCGATTGATTCTGACTGTGTAATCTCATTTTCACTTATTATAGTGTCCAGCAGAGCTTGAAGAAAAACCTTTTTTAAATCCGTTGTCACTTTATCACAAAATTAGAAATCCTCAGCTTTGTCTTATTTGATCTCATCTGCTTTTTATGTCAATATAGATTCAGTCAAGGGTATCATCTTTCAATAAAGGTTGGGTTATGTTTAGGGTTTGTCAAAGGCGACACAAGAACAGATAAAACATGATATGAGAAACAGCAGAGAAGGATTTGAGTGAGTCACTGACCAATTTTGGTGTGTTACCCTCGTCTGTGTTAAATTTGCCGAGCCAGGTGACCGCTGACAGCTCCGCTCATCTGATTTCATTTAGGAGAGACACACTTTGACACTGCGGTCTCACACATGTCCAACTGAGTGTAAATAGATTGACTATTGTGTGGTGATGAGTAAAAGAGTTGTCTTCTCCATTCTGCAGCTGAGAATGGATAGTTTAGTGGAACAGTTACACACAAAGAGACACACGCTCACTTATGTACACACTCTTTTCGTCACCAGCAGCAGACAGAGGTCTGCAGACACAGACAGGAAAATGAAGAAACCTATAGATGTGTGCACACACAGTATTTAGTCATATAGGCATGGTGAGGAAGAGATGTGGTCACTGACCTACATGTGTTTATGTCTCATTGGATTAATCACAACACAGGCAGACTGACTGGCAACATCTGTGTGTGTGTTTTTGTCTGAAAAGAGTCAAAAGTTTCCCTCTTTGAAATCTAAAGCCCTTTAAAACATATTGTAAGTCTTCTTTACCAAAACAAAATGAATGAAAGCAAACTTAATGCTGATTGGTTCGCACACTATTTCCTGTTTTTGTCTTTTCTACATTTATTTGTCTGGGTTTTGTAACGGAGGTGAAAGCTGGTTGATCACAAAGCTTAAATATTAAAAATGGTAAAAGATCAGCTGAGATCTTCTTTCTTATTTTATTTTATGTAGGTTTTTAAGGTTGCCGTTATAAAACGCTTATACAGTTAACAAATTTTTTTATTAAAATTGTTTGCTGAATTAGATCTGAATTTTACTAATCTTTAAGTTGACCCAATGATCCATCAGTATGTTTTCTCTGAAGAAATGGCGCCATTCTTGTTAAACTATCCTCTTTTTTTAAATTCTATTATTAAATTTTTTACTTTTAATTTTTATATTATCTCTTTGTGAAGCACTTTGTGACCTCACTGTTCTTGAAAGGTGCTATGTAAATAAACTTATTATGAACTTGCCTGAACTTATATGGAGCTTGACAGTAAGGGTCAAATGTTTAATTTTGAGATTTGAATTTCATGTCAAATAAACACTACCCAACACTACTAATAAGAAGCATATCCTAAAATGCTTAGCACTCTGCACAGCTGGAAAAATCTGTTAAGTTAAAGAGAAACCCCACCAACTAAACATTTCACATGAAATGTAACTTTTTTAAATCCAGGATAGTACAAGAGGAGGAGGCACTCTTATAGGACAGTTATGCAGTTACTATTGAGACTGCTGAATGATTTACAACACCTTCTATCTGATGACCAAAACACACAACTAACTAACCAATTAATTCGTACGATCCCTCTGGTTGGTGAGGTACACAGCAGAACAGAATATTATACTGGTTTATACATCCTCAGCTAGGTCTCATTTTTAACTCAAACAGGATTTCCTGGTTAAATAAATATTCATTAATTTCTAAACTGGAACCAAGCTGATGACGTGAAAGCTGATGACCACTGTAAACAAAGGACACTTATTTATCCAGTCCAGTTTAGCCAGTCTGTCCTGCGGATTTGTTTCACTTCCTCCTACTTTACTGTAAAAGCTTGGCAAATCCAGTAAGGTCACTCTGTTTTACATGAGTGTTTATTTCACATTTTTTACACATTCAGGTGGAATTGTTTGTCTGTGATGATTAACCAGAGCAAATTAAACCCTTGTTATCTAAATAAACCAGTTACAGTGGATACATTGTCAAACTGAGGATGAAATTTTGTGTTAAGTTGACAATTCTGTCTGATGTGAGGGAACTACAGAGCGAGCGTAGGAGGGAACTGCGAGATGAACATCATTGTTGTCAGAAAAACATTTGAGTCACAAATATTTGTGGTATCGGCCACACACTCGGCTCATAAAGGGAGCCTGACAGATCTGTGCAAAAACATGTTTCTCATATTGAGCATCAAAAGGTCTGCTGGTGACATGTGCTTTTTATGACCTGAGTAAGTCACAGGAGGTCAAAAAAATTACTATTATTGTAACATGGTACAAAACACTTTTACTACACACCAGCAAGTCGGTTTGTGATTCATGAGTGATGCAATTCAACACTTTGTTCTGTCTTCATGAAAAAGACCACAGAGAAAATTTTACTTTGGGACTGAATATTCATGAGAAACAAATGTTAAAAGGGTTACAGTTAAAGGGATATTCCGGCGTAAATTTATGTTATGGTCAAAAACACTGTGAAACCGAGTTAGAAACCCCCTCGAGAGATGAATGTTACCAACTGCTTGCTTCTCTAGTGATACCAACTTCAGCAACGACCACATGATAGCAATATACAGCGGCTAGTACAGCCATAGCATGGATCCATAGACCGCTGTGTATTGCTATCGTGCGGTTGTTACTAAAGTTGGTATAACTAGAGAAGCAAGTGGTCAGCAACATTCATCTCTCGTGTCTAGAGATGTCTAACTCGGTGTTATGGTGTGTTCCGTGATTCCGGAATATCCCTTTAAGATCTATTTAAGATACTTACCATTAAAATACAGAGCTGTGTATCATCTGACTTGAGTCTATTATGACACTGATAATTCCTTTTATTAACCCGTCAAACATCTTTTTAGCTTTGCCTGGTTTCTTTAGCAAAGAGTGCAGAGTGCAGCGGAGTTTCACAGCTCAAGGAAGAACATTTATGATTATTAATTCATGGAAATGCAATCAGACCGAGACACTAAGGCAGAAGAACAACCTTGTCTGCAGTGCAAAATGATTAATATGATGACTGTTACTTTAAGAAAAATGATCTGCTGCACTCGGTGATCAACTTGTCAGGGCTTTCCCACAAACAAGCGGCTGCTGGAAGAGAGTGGGTAAGTTGTGTTTGTTCTCTTTTCTTAAGAAATCAGGCAAAGCTAAAAAGATCGTTACGTCTTTACTAAAGTTGGTATAACTCGAGAAGCAAGCGGTTGGCAACATTCATCCCTCAAGGGGGTGTCTATAACTCTGTGTTACAGTGTGTTTGACCATAAGTTAAATTTACGTCGGAATATCCCTTTAAGATTTGAGTGTCTCTGCTATATGTACTCTACAAGCATGTTCGTAGACCTTAAATCACTATAATATTGTACAAGAAGCACATCAGAGAGCATGATTTTCTAACAACTCTTCGCTCTCCTTCCTCTCTGTTTCCAGGCCTCTGAACTCTCTGAACATTTAAACGGACAGGACTCCCACACCGCCGCCCACGCTCGGAGCAGCAGTCGCAGCGGCAGCCACGGGAGAACCACTCATTCACACACCTACAGACACCCCAGCTCCACCTCCTCCTCCACCCAGCAGACACAGAGCAAGCCCTCACCTCAGCATCCTCAGCGGGTTCAAGCGCAGTCCCAGGCCCCCGACAGCGAAGTCCCCGCTGCTCTCGCCAGCACCCTGGAACACATCATAGGTCAACTGGATATTCTCACTCGGGTAAGCAGAGCATGTGTTAATCTTTCATGACAAGCAGCATGCATTGTGCTCTCACTGAGCCTCCCACTCGCACTGTTCAGAACAAACGCTTCCTTTACTTTCTACCTGTTCGCCAGAGGTTATTTCAGTATCCCTGTAACGAAAATATTTTGAGAGAAAAACCTCTTCAGCGCTGGCTGGTTCTGCAAAAGAATATTGCAGTGACTCTGCATATGAGTGTGCGCCTGTTGGGGTTGGCATCCCTGGCATTCATTGTAATATTTCAATATTTAACTGGCAATCGTCCTCTGCAGAAAACACCTGGGACTCCTTCCCAGCAAAAGCTACATTCCTCTTACATTTTTGGAAATATAATTAAAATGCTTCATGCAACAGAAATCGAATTTTACACCCAGCTGTGTGTGCAGGAAATATGAAGGAAAATCTGGCAAAAAGACCAAAAACTATTCAACTCTTTTTCTGTACCTCTTTATGTACCGTATGTTCTGTTATAAAACAAGTGATCTGCATGGAAACAAGGTCTGTTCTTGATACAATGTTCTGAAACCACCCAAAACTGAAGTACTCCAGAATGAGATTGGCAGTAACCAGCTGCAGTACAAGAAGGTTCATATTCACCATGAGTTGTAGCTCCTCGGGCAATGCATTAATAGGAGGGATGGACGAAGAACCTCTCTCTTACTTGCAACAGAGCATGTGTCAGGTAACACAAAGTGCAGAGAGGGATGACCTTATACAAGTTTAATTGAAAAAAGTAAAAGCAGTAAGTAGTTATACTTGAGTGGCCAAAAAATACTTAAAAGCCACTCTATAGTCACAAATAATGCTCAGAACAGCACCTAGCTTCATCAACAGTTCATAAAGGGTCCCAGCCATAGTACTAGCCATTAAACATCTTTTAAGCTTTGCCTGATTTCTTTAGCAAAGAGACTAAACACAACTCACCCACTCTCCTCCAGCAGCCACTTGGTGTGGGGACACCCGGCACGAGTCGATCACCAAGTGCAGCAAAATATTTATGATAACTACTTCATGGAAACGCAATCAGACCGAGACGCTAAGGCAGAAGAACTACCACATCTGCAGTGCACATACAAGATACACAAGAACTCTGATTGCATTTCCATGAAGTAATAATCATAAATGTTCTTCCTTGAGCTGCGAAACTCCGCTGTACTTGGTGATCAACTCATTAGGGCTCCCCCACAAACATGTGGCTGCTGGAGGAGAGAGGGTGAATTGTGTTTAGTCTCTTTTCTAAAGAATCCAGGCAAAGCTAAAAAGATGTTTGGTGGCTAGTAATATGGCTGTAGGCTACTTGCTGCTGTGCATTGTTATCATGCGGCCATGACTAAAGTTTATAACTAGAGAAGCTAGCAGTCAGCAACATTCATCTCTTGAGGGGTGTCTAACTCTGTGTTTGACCATAACTTAAATTTACACCAGAATATCCCTTTGAAGAGTAAGCACAACAGTAATGAAGCTGATGTTCGCCTTTGCATTTATTCACTCTAACCAGCAGCGGTTGGTCTGCCAGAGAGAGCAGGCAGAAGCAGTGCATTGTTTTCTCAGCCCTCCTCTGCTGAGTTTTCAAGTAAATAGTTTTTTATGAGCAAACAAACAAAGAGAAGATCAATGTCTACATGATGATGACAGATCCGAAGAAAAAGAAACAAATTTGTCATCCAGATGAAGACAAACAGCAAAAACCATCAGTGGGGATGCTGTTTGGACCCTCCTGGGGGAGTCTAAATACAGAGCTGATGTTGTTTCTTTCTGTCAGTGGTGCCACAAAAGTGGATGATTGAGATCTTCAGGGTTTTTAGTCTGAGTTGCTTTAGTTTGGGGCACATTATTTTTCCCTACGTAGTTATAATCATTACCCAATGGTTCCCCAAGTTTTTCCAACATGTTACAGTGTGAGGCTGAACTCCTTTTAATCTTCATGAGACAAACATTTACTGTAAAGCACAAGCTATATATATCTGTCTATAAAATAAATACATGTATACACTGTGCTTGCTCTGTTAGGTTCGACTACCCTCAGTGCGAGTACTCCTGTAGCTCTTCAAGGCCAGACACAGTTTTCAAGCCAGACCTCAAGACTGATTAGAACTAAAAATAGCTTCTTAAACAGAAACAGAGGAGCAGCCATCAGCTTACGACGCTCGTATCTGCTTCTTATCAATTAATGTCAAAATTTGTATTTGTTTTTATTAGATGTGATCAGTGAGATGTGAAACTGAGAGACCTGTGAGAGAAAGCTGTTGTTTGTTCAGTGGCTCTGCTGTCTGTCCACGAAAAGTGTAAAAAATTTAAGGAGGCAGCAGCTAAACTTCGACTGATCAACCCAGTAAACCCATCGATTTTTACTTTTTTCCTCGGTGTTGTCATTAAAAACTTTCTGCAGAAAACTAAAAAAAATAAAAAAATAAAAATCTCTTCACTTCATAGAAAGGCTTTTATCTGGAAACATCTGCAGCTGTGGATGTCTAATGCTGGAAACAATTACCCATTAGTTTTAAGCTCAATGCATTTCCTGTATAATCACATTGAACCTTTATCTCTAATGTCAGTCCAAATGAGGCTCAACGACTCATTTGGACTGGTATTTACAGGCATGCATTTGCTGCACATGTTCTTAATATTTGATTGATCTTTTTAAAAAATAAAAAAGGAATCAATTGTACTGACATATTTTTGAAGTTTCACCCAAACCAGACTGTGCTTTCGGCATCTTAGATCCCTGTTTTCCTTTTACTATACCCCAACAGCTTGTTGGACTAATTTGATTCAAACAGAAAACATGAGAAACACTTCAGGTCGGAGGTATTTTTGTTTTGTTGTGTTAAAGAGCATCTTACTGGGGGATACCTCCAGAGGGCACACCAGGGAGTGAGGACATGTGCAAGTAGCAGATTTGTAGGATAAAAACACAAGACATAGAAGAACCACAAATCACAGAGGTAACTATTACGTGAACACGGGGTTTTAGTGGCCAAAATTTCCTGAGCCACCTCAAGGACCTGATGACTGATGGACAGACCACATCTTTAGCACCGCATGCAACTCTGTGTTTGCAATATTTTACTCTGTGCTCAGACTCCACAGTCCTGCACTTGTTTTCTTTTACAGGTTGAAGTCGTCTCTTGCCACTTATTTCAACAGGAAATTTTATTGCTACGCAGTGGCAATGACACATTATACAGATGCTGCCATGTTTGACGGTCACTTCCCCTCTGCCTTGAAACTGCTCTGAACAGCCATGTGCATTCTGCGTCTTGCAACAGCCAACACTCCAATGCAGTAAATGATGGGTGTGCATTAGGACTGACCGTGATTAATGATCACAATAAATTTCAGTTTGATCCCGTGATCAGCTGTGAGCATAATTAGCAATGTTAGCCATGACTTTGAGTCATCCTCTGAAGATGCCACTGTTGAGAACAAAAGTTACTCAACGTCGTTTGCGCGACGATTGTTCGAGTATCTCCAAAGTGACGTTGAGTTAAAATGGTTTTTATATTTGTCTATGTTTATCTTATTCAATTTGCTTTATTTACTTTGTATGTTAATAAAATGTTGAACTAATCTCTAGTTCTTTAGTTTCTAGTACAGATGCTTTAAAACTGGCAGTTTAAAAAATACAAAAAAAATGTGATAATCAGACAATATGACAAAATATATCATAATCATGTTTTATTGCCAAATTGCCCAATCCTATATGCACATTTTGCCCTTGCAATCTGCTCCGTCTCAAAATCCAAACCACGAAGCATAAAGCCAGAAATGCAAACAAAGTTCTGCATCTGTGCAGCTTGCTCCAAGTATGTGTCTCGTTGTAATTAAAATGAGCTGTAAGCATCTCCTCCTTTTGCTTTCTGTACGCAGTGCTGCACTGTGGGCTCTTAGACAGCACCAGATTGACTTAATCCTTGATTCATATGTAAATACTTACTTTAAAATAACATCACTGGACCAATCGTTAACTTCTAAACCAGTCGTAAAAGTACTTCTAGGTCACTTACAGGTGGAACTGTTGATCTGATCACTGAGTAGTTTCATGGCTCATTTGTGAATCAGACTCAGTGAGAGAAAAGAGGTAGTGTATAATTTTAAACCCTCAGTCTGATCGTCTTAAATTAGTAGAGGCTGTTAGAGTGGATAATGCTTGTGGTGCGACAAACGGTAAAGGCCTTGGACACACACGGCATCCACAGAAAAGGAGAAGAGTAAAGAGTGTGTTTTTCCTGGTGTAACAGAAGAATTTATTCAGTGTGACAATTGAACTCAGGAACACGGTTTAAGGCTAGAAAAGAAAGAGATGAGAGAAACACGAGCACCCTGGAGAGATCAAGAGAGGTGAAGAGGATGAGGAGCAGAAACAGAAGGACAGAGAGATAGGGGAGGGGGAGCTGAATGAAAAAAGAGGAGAGGGAGCGTGAAGACTCGGTGTGTATATGTGTGTGTGTGCATGAGTGTGTGTGTTTGTGTGTGCAAGGTTTTAGCTGGAGGTGGTGAATGTGTCCCGAGAAGAATACATCATTCATATATGAGCGCTGGCAGCACTCTGCCTCACTCACTGATAGTAAGTGTAAATGCTTAATGGCTGTGCAGAGGGTCAAAACACTTTTTGTATGTAAGTGTGTGCGTGTGTGTGTGTGTGTTTTCTGAATGTTTGTTCTTGGCTTGTATCCTTTCTTTCTCCTCTCTTTCTTTCTTTCTTTCTTTCCCTTTTTTTCCTTTCAAGTTGCAGTCCAGCATGTGGGAGCATTTAGTTTTGGCCCATGGCAGCCAGGCAGCTCGCTAACCCCTCCTTAAGGGGGCGGTGCCAAACTCTACTCCTTTACCTGGACCCTGATGCCAGATGGATGCATATCTAGTTTAACCCTTAGACTCTTTTGTTGAAAATTTGTTTGGTTTTAACCCATTAAAACCTGAAATTTGAGGACTTTTATTCTCGGATAAGCAGCTGGTAGGAGGTTCTGGTGCTCTATGTAAACTTATCAGTATATTCTTCTGCCTCTTCTTGAAAAAAGCATTGTAAAAGCAGTGTTTTCTCCCTGTGGCTTTGTGACTTCAAGTTGCGTCAGTTTAGTAGGGGCCATTGCTGGTACACCTCGTTAGGCTTGTATCTTGTGTGTTTTTTAATAAGCTTTTTTATAGAGCTGTCTTAACAAAGACACCATGTTTGAGACTTGTGTTTTACAACTCATTAAATAAACCAATAAAACTGAAAACACACATAAAATAAACAAGGAAAAAGGCAAAGATGAAATGAATGTTGATTTTGAAGGTTTATATTTGGAGTCGAGAGCCCCGGTCTTCTGGAAATTCTAAAAAGTCGTTTTTTTATCCATGTTTAGTTTTTTTTTTATACATCCACGCATGGTGCATTTCACTGCTCTGCTACTGGCTTTGTATCAGCCCAATGAACTACAGATGGTGGTAATGAGGAAATCTGTCATGATGTTTAAAATAATCCATTTTTGCTTCTCACAGAAATATCAGTCATTTTCTGAAATCTATAATGTAACCTAGTTTGTGAGAATTTTTGTCCAGTTCATTAAAAATTCGGCTACAACATGTTACCGGCAAAGATAATCACATTTATTAAGTTTATTTGCGCTTGAAACGGTGGAAAATTTACTTTCTTTTTTGTATTCTAACCACATTATTCAATTCAAATTTGTTTCTTTTTTATATTATTAAAGATGGCAGGACAGAATCCAAAAAATCTGTTGTGGCAATATTTTATTGAGCCAGATATTTTTCAGTTTTATCGATTTATTAAAATGTTCATGAAGCTCAGCTCTTTTTTTCTTACAAAAAACAAACAAACACTGAAAGATCAGCAATGTATATCGACCATCGGCCAGCCCACTTATTATCAGGATCAGCTGTTAAAAAAACTGTAACTGGTTGACTACTAACTGGTATTATTTTATTCTATTGTAGCTTATTTATTAATGCTGTTACCCATCAGTTTATTGCTTAATGGGTTTTTTGCACTTTGTTTTGCACTGAATTACTTAGTAGTGAAACATTAAACCAATTAGGAAGGGAAATGACTAAAAACAAATGAACGTCAAAAATGCGGAAACAGCGAGTTGGTTTGTGGCACCAACCTCATGACCTTTGAACTGTATTAGAAACTGCTACCAGGGGGATTGTACCGTCTAGCCAAGCTACAACCAACGTTTCACTCAACACTCATCCATGTTTGTTTACTCTGAAGTCATGTTGGACCTCTAGAGGTGTTGCAAGATTTCCACTTTTGAGGGTTGGGACTCTGGTCTCTGATTGATATATCTTTAAATATGCTATTGTGAACATCTGTTAATATTTGAAGTGAAGATGAGCCAGGCTTCATATGTGCACAGGAAAAGATAAGAAAATACATAAAAGGTGCTGTTAAATCCAAAGGGGCAGCAGAATGGTCAGGAAACAAATATTCCTGATAGGAGCTCCAGTACATTAAGACCTCCTCTGGTTTTTGTGATCAGCTTTGAATACTAATGCTGTGTCAGTGTCAGAACAAGAAAATTAAATTTCCAGCTGAGGTGCAAAATAAGAAAATTGGAACCGAACACCAAAGCTCCCCAGTGAATCATAAAAGCTAACCTGTGTAGAGGCTTTCATGAAAGTCAGTAAAAACGCTTCAGATCGCCCCGCAGTGCAGGCTCCGACATGCTTCACCCACTCAGATGTTTACACGGGCAGATCAGTGACCTGCACCTCATATGCTGCTCCATCCAAGTTTTGAAGCAGCAGTTTCTATAGAGCAAAGTGTCGTACATGTTAGCTGTATAATGTGCTAAAAAAACAGTTCTGAGCACAACTTTCAGACGTGTATAAATTACAGAATCAAGTAAGCTGTGGGTTTTCTGCCACTTATTCACACTCATGATTGCAGCAGTTTACGTACAAAATGCACTCCTATTGATTTAAAACACAAAAAGTGTGAGTAAAAAGAATTCAAAACACTTTCTGTTCGACTTGAAGTAACATTACATTTTAAATCACTGCCGCCCATTCACTGGAGATAAACCTGGCGAAGCAACATTATTTATTCCTTCACTATATCCCGGCTCCTTCGTACATCTTTCCCTCAGTATTATTTTTCACCATTACAGCTCTTTGTAACTCTAATAGTGGAGGAGACTGAGAGAGAGAATGATGAATAATTCAACATCAGACCAAAGCTTCCAAAGCCACAGTTTGCTGTGTTAGCTGCTTTCACTTGTCTCCCCCCCTTTCTCCCTCCTCTTACCCCCTCTCCTCTCCTCTCCTTCTGTCTTCTAATTCATCGCTCTTACATGTCCTCTTACACTTTGTGTCTGCAACACTTGCACTCGTCCCCTTCTCTCACACTCCCCCCTTTTTAATCAAAGCAAATCTTAATGAAGAATTTTAAGCTAAAGTGCAGTCGCCCCCTCTCTTCCTCAATAGATCACCGGACAGAGCTGTACTTGAAAAGATTTTCTGAGTTTCTCTAAGATGTTCCTCACAGGGGAACATTCTGTAACAAGCTATCATTTATAACCTCTTCTTCATCTGGAACGAAACCTTTCCTCCTCTGTGATTCCCCTCCAGAGTAGTAAGCCACAGTCGAGCCTCTTTTTTTACTGTGTTCATCAGATCTGATATGCAAAGAAACGAGCGAGTCCACCGAATTCAGATTCCTGTAAAAACAGCTTTAAGTGGAGCTGCAAGGAACACAAGCAGAAAGTGAAAGAGAGATCGCACTGTTCTTCCCTCTCACTTGTTCCTCAGAAAAGATCTAAACTTTGATTAAAACTGAGGTTTTGAACTTTTGGAAACCCCTTATCTTCTCCCTGATCAGTTGTTTTTTCCAAGTATAGTTAAGTTTCCCTCTGTGGAGTTTGAGATATTAGAGAATCAGACGCAGTCTCTGATTTATGGGCTCGGCTAGAAGAGCTCCTAAAGAATGAAACCATTTCTCAGAGAATGACGCCCATGGAGCCGATGAAGTTCCTCTCAGAGCGGTACTGAAAGTGAAATTAAAAAATCCCACAGATTAGTGACAATAATTCAGAGAACCTCAGCGACTCATAATACCAACGTTTTATTTATCTCACATACTGTTGGGAAATGCTTTGTATTGTCTGGAAAGCTGAAATAATTTGAGGAAGCGATACCTTGGGTATTTTCTTGTTTTGAAACATCACAAATATGTTGGCAACAGTCAGTCAATCAGAAAATAAAAAAGAACTAAGGACAGTTTTTGCTTGTTGCAGTTAGATGTATTGATATTTAAGAGGCTATAATAACACCCTGACATCATAAGTTCAAATCGATTGACAGTTTCTTGTTAGAAAACCTTCACTAGGTGCCGATTACCTCGTTGAACCCCCACATTACAAGAGCAGATTGATGTTATAATATAATACACATCTCTGGACTGAGTGGCCAGAACAGATTTTGTAGGAGTGATCAAGCAAACTTCATTAACTTTGTTTTTTTAATTTTCCTTCCTTGAGTTCTTCCCTAATATCCTTTTAATCACTCCTGTGTAGACTCCTAATCTCTCTTTAATTGAACTTTGTACTAATTATCCGGGAAAAGGAAGAGTGCATAGGGAATGTAATTCCAGTATCAGCTCTGTTGTGTATAACAGGCTGTTCAAAAACAAAACAAAAAAACCTAGAATTTTTAAGCAAAAAAACACGACAAGTGACCAAAAGTGACCATGCTTATATCATGCCAGCACATTAGTAGTGCTGGGCGATAGGACGATAGATATCGTGGGCACGATAGAAAATGTCTATCGTGCCATTTTTATTTTTATCGTTTCGGGCGATAGGCTGTATTTTATCCATAGGGCTTGTGCCATCAGATGATTCATAGTAACAACAACAATAATTGCACATTCAGTAAGTGTTTTTGGTGTCGAACGGGAAAGAAAACAATATTTTCTTACAAAGAAAAGGATGCGTTGACATGTAGGCTTGCATTTCTCTTTCGATTTTGCAACATGACGCCGCTTTACGTGCCCTCTTTGTGTCCAGCGTCTCCCGCCATTGCGGGTTACCTGAGTTACACACGTGAGGGGATAATTGTAAGCAGTGCTTAATTTGTGCCGGAGCAAGTCGGAGCGCGATCCGGGACCTCTTTTGATCGGATCCGGGACCTTTTTCAGCCGTTCCGGCACCTGTTTCATCTGCTCCGGGACCTTCCCTGTAGAGGATGACATTTTTCGGGAATTCCCGTGGGTCACGTGATTCCCGCGGGAATCCCACGGGATGGGAGTCATTTTTTAATTAATCCCTTGATCGGGACGGGACGGGAAAAAAGCAACGGGAGTGGGCAGGAGCGGGAACAACATTAAAAGATGATCATTTTCAGCCGTGTTTAACAACCAGATGAACAGGTGCGCCAACACTCTTGACCGCGCTAGCAACACAAAAGAACTACAACAGTGGTTTGACTTCCTGTCAGCTGGGAGCGCGGCTGCGCATTTGTACCCTTCAAGCCAGCAGCGAGGAAACGTAATTTTGTGACATTCTGTAGTTTTTCAATCATTTCTGGAGTCGTGGCGAATCAAATCACCTTACCTGTCTGCTCCTGATAGGCGAATAAAGCGCTCGGATTCATGCTCGGGTCTTGCTACGTGCTTCAAGAGTAAAGTAAACAATGATGGAGGCAGAGAGCAGCTTTGGAGGAGAAACATCTAGCAGTGTGAACAACCTCTTCAAAAGAGCCCTAAAGACCTACCTTTTTAATAAAGCCTTTGGTTAGTTTTCCTCTATGCTTTATGCTTTTACTACCTTGCCTCTTACATTGCAACTCTATATTTTTTATTTTTTTTAATTCTTTTGTTATGCCAATCTGTGACTGTCATTCTATTGCTTATTTTATTGTTGCTGCTCTTATTTACTGTGTACTGTAGCACTTTGAGATTTTTTGTAAATGTAAAGTGCATTACAAATTAAATTTATTATTATTATTATTAAGGAGTGCTTTGGCTCACACTATCGGCGTTTTCTGTGAGTGTTGCATAACTTTGGGTGAGCACAGACATGAACGCACTTCAGCCACATATTTATTCATTTTTCTAATTTTAAGTGCTGGTCTTGTACTGGTACTGTACTAGTGCAGCTGTATACACTTAAATTTTTCATAGAACTGAAAGCATACCATAGCTATATCGTGATATATATCGTTATCGTGATATAAAATGATCCATATCGTGATATACATTTTTTTCCATATCGCCCAGCACTACACATTAGCATTAGCATATTGAAGCTACACTGCGGCTTTGGCTGATGATCAACACTGTTTGTCTGAAAACTGCAGCAGTGTTGGTTCTGGACACTTATTTAGGACTGAAACGTAGAGCTTAATGATTAATAATATTTTAACCACTAATTTTGATTTTGGATGATAATCAAGACTGAACAATTACGGTGCCACCTGCTGTGTTGCCCCCATGGTGTTACCCTCATACCTGTCAAGTTTTGGTTTGGAAAATAAGGGAAATTTTCCGAATGTCAAATCACGATCTTTCATAATTATAATTATATTGTCATTTAAATGCTTTCGTTTGATTATCTACCAACGACTGTCTCGCTGATACTGTGTTTGTCAAACTGGTAACATTTATTACCTCATACTTACAGACTTAGGCCCAATTTCCACTGCATCCTGAACGGCTACGAAAAAGGCAATATCTGCTGATCGTAGCTGGTCGTAAACATTCAAGTTAAAGGGATATTCCAGTTTAAAATTAATTTAGGGTCATACACACTGTAACACCAAGTTAGACACCCCCTCGAGAGATGAATGTTGCAGACTTCTTGCTTCTCTAGTTATACCAACTTTAGTAACAACCGCACGATAGCAATACACAGCGGTCTGAGGAGCCATAAACAAACCTTTACCGAAACGCCACTCAAATAATGCTCAGAACAGCACCTAACCTTATCAACAGTACATATAGGGTCCCCACCACAGCACTAGCCATCAAACATCTTTCTAACTTTGCCTAATTTCTTTAGCAAAGAGACTAAACACCAACTCACCTACTCTTTTCCAGCAGCGAGACCTCAGGCCAGTCCATTATGGACTGCAGCTCAAAGAAGAACATTTATGATCATTTCTTTATCATTTCCGTGAAGTAAAAATCATCATATTAATCATTTTGCACTGCAGACACAGTAGTTCTTCTGCCTTAGCGTCACGGTCTGGTTGCATTTCTCTGTTTCACTCCTTATCTGTAACTTAACTTTATTACTGGGGATGCTACAAAGCTACCAGTTTTTACACGTTGGAAGTACAGCATCATAATAACACAGCAGCAGCTGATAACATCTACCGAGCTGCTGCAAGCTTAGACACAACACATGACAAATATCAATACTGAGTTTATAGGACAGCTGGTGAGGGTCTACATGCTGAATCTAAATGCTGAGTGTGCGTCCGTGCTTCTTTTCAAAACAGAGTAAAATGAGCTCCTGTCTCTGAAATCTTTGCATCTAAACGACAGGGTGCTGAACAGATTTCCCTTCACTCATATTTATTGATTTTTCCTTTCACCCTACACCATACAGTGGAGAAAAAAAAACATGATTCAGTTCCCGGTAGGTGGTCCAACATGTTAGACGGATGGTGTAAAGCTTTAACCATGAATACATCACATGGCTTTAAATCAGCTTCAGTGTTTAGCGCACATAAACAGAGTCATTTTCGAACCTGAAACACCACGTGCAGCACGCACACAACCTGGCAGTCCAGCTGTGTTTGGTAATTGGCTGTGTGTGACCCCACGGTGCCACACAAACAAACAGATACACACAACCAGGCATGAATAATTAAACACGTAATGATGAAGGAATTCAGTGAGATTGTTGAAAATCTCACACTCCAACACACACAGCGTACGCACGCACACACGCCACGGAGTTCAACTGTGAGTGGGCGAGTGGTGTTTTCTTTTGGGTCATCAGACTAGATAACATCTCCTGCTTTTTCATGCATCATGGGAGAGAAGAGGGCTTGTGTTTCCTCTTTCTCTCCCTTTCTCTGCCTGTCTCCATTTTCTAGATCAATACCGCTCTGTTTATCTTACCAACCTGATACGGCGACCTGCTCCTCAGTCCAGCAAGCTGTTGGTGTGTGTGTGTGTGTGTGTGTGTGTGTGTGTGTGTGTGTGTGTGTGTGTGTGTGTGTGTGTGTGTGTGTGTGTGTGTGTGTGTGTGTGTGTGTGTGTGTGATCATGCACGTGTCCCCAGGCAGCAGCAACATTATACGGCCATATAGTTTTCATCTAGAGTAGAAACCAAATCTTTACGCTCCTAAAAATAGAGGGAGCTGTGTTTCTTTTCTCTCTAAAACACATTATACTCTGCATCGCCCTGAGCGGAGCGGGTCTCATAGCTCTGGTATGACCCGAGCCTGAAAGTCAAAGCAAGAAAGAGTCAGATCTTTACTTTCAATGTTGCTAACCGACGTGTGCTGAGAGATATTTCACTGCTAGAACGAAGAAATGGAGAAGACGAGTGAGAACAATTGACGATAGATATTGAGAATTTTTTAAAGCGATGACAAAAGCTTGTCTGTCTAACTGGGTGACATAAAAAGTCATATGTACTACAATTTAAAGGGATATTCCGGCGTAAAATTAATTTAGGGTCAAACACACCCCCTCGAGAGATGAATGTTGCAGACCGCTTGCTTCTCTAGTTACACCAACTTTAGTAACAACTGCACGATAGCAAAACACAGCCGTCTGAGGAGCCATAAACAAACCTTTACCAAAAAGCCACTCTATAGCCACAAATAATACTCAGAACAGCACCCAACTTCATCAACAGTACATATAGGGTCCCAGCCATAGTACTAGCCACCAAACATCTTTTTAACTTTGCCTAATTTCTTTAACAAAGAGACCAAACACAACTCATCCACTCTCCTCCAGCAGCCGCTTGTTTGTAGGGAGAGCTTGGACGAGTCAATCACCAAGTGCAGTGGAGTTTCGCAGCTCAAGGAAGAACATTTATGACAACGGCAGATGCTGTAGTTCTTCTGCTTTAGTGTCTCGGTCTGATTGTATTTCCATGAAGAAATGATCATAAATGTTCTTCCTTGAGCTGTGTCACCCCGCTGCAGTCTGTAATGGATTGGCCCGAGGTCTCGCTACAAACAAGTGGCTGCCCGAAAAGAGTAGGTGAGTTGTGTTTAGTGTCTTTGCTAAAGAAATTAGGCAAAGTTAAAAAGATGTTTGATGGCTAGTACTGTGGCTTGGACCCTATATGTACTGTTGATGAAGTTAGGTGCTGTTCTGAGCATTATTTGTGGCTATAGAGTGGCGTTTCGGTTGAGGTTTGTGTATGGCTCCTCAGACCGCCGTGTATTGCTATTGTGCGGTTGTTACTAAAGTTGGTAAAGTTGGTAACTAGAGAAGGAAGTGGTCGGCAACATTCATCTCTCGAGGGGGTGTCTAACTTTGTGTTACGGTGTGTTTTGGACCCTAAATTAATTTTACACCGGAATTTCCCTTTAAAGTTTGTTTACTCTGTCATACACGTACCTCATACACACATCCTTTGGCTTCATCTTGCTGAAGATCTTAAAAATTTGGCTTTTTGTGATTTATTTGTAGAGGGAGAATAATGGAGACATAATAACACAAATTTCTCCCATTCAGTCAGCAAAACAAAGCTGTGTCTCAAATCTTTAGAAATCCAGTAAAACATTCGTGTTTGACTTATTCTGTTAGTGTCATTTTTAATGTAACAGACAAGAGGGATAAAGAAAGACTCCCCTCTTTAGATCCTGTTTTGAGGTGCACATCACATAATAAACACAAACTCTCCACTGTATGATTTTCACACATTTATCCGCCTTATGGTTTTATTTAGATAAAATAATTCAAAGCAGAGAGTTTGTGAAGGCTGACCACTTCTGAGGTAAACCTAATTTGTTTGTTTTTCTGTCTCTGTCTCTCTCTCTCACACACACAGCTGGTTATGTTTTGATAAATGACTCATCTCCACTCTGCTTTCTAGCTATTTCAAAATTACACTCACTGGCAGAAGGAGAGCGGTGAAATTACAGGTCAAGACATGTTGACATATCTTTCGCTCTCTGGTCCAAATCTGAAGAGCCTCCTGTGTCAGGGGGAACAAAATGTTGACTGAATGATTGTTTCTGCGCTGAGACGAATTTTGTTTGCCAAGAACTACTGTCCAAAAGTGTTATCAGCAGGGACTTTGATTTTCACCAATGGTTCAATAAACACTTATCATAGAGGAACAATAAACACTCAAACAAAGTCATCTTTAGCTAAAAAAATAATCTCTTCTCGCTTTAACACCTTTTATTGCAGATTTCTTCAGTTTGCAGCAGTTTAGCACCATAATTTCACCGATTTATGACATGATTCGGTTCCAGTAGGAGCTTATGGAGAAATCAGTCAACTCATGTGTGTTTTTATCACATTAGTTTCAAGTATTGTGTGCAAATCAAGGCAAATTTTCTTTTACTTCCCGTTAAAAATAGATTGAAACAATATAAAAAGGCAAATCATGAATAAAAATTATAGAAAATACACAAGTTTAGAAAATCAAAAATGCAGTAGAGGAATGAAAGAGGCACATCCCAAAGTTTAATCAAGATCTGGAATTACTTTTATTATCGAAAAGATCCCTAACAACCCGAGACAAAATAAACTAGAGTAATTCGCAGAATGTTATTTCCCCAGAGTATCGGCTTCAAATCTATAATTTATTTAAAACAAAATAAAAAGAAAACCCTTTATAAAAATTTGATTTAACCGTCATTAGAGTTATGAAGGTTTTTCATAACTCCCACACTCTTATACAGTAAAATTAGCTAGTTTTTTTAAGCATACCCTAGTGAGGGATAATATAGTGAGCGGGTGGTTATGCAAACTGGAATCCAGAGTGAGTGAGTGAGACCTCGACATGAAGTTGAAGGGCTTTATCTCAACCTGAAGGCTAGATATATTTCTATGAGCCTACTTAAAATTTAACTTCACATTGCATCATCAACCAAGTCCAAATATTTCCATTTCCTGTTGGTGTGATAATTTTGAATAATTTTCAAAGTGTGCCAACATTTTCTTTTCCTTAAACTGGATCAACTTCCTTTCTCTGTCAGAGACTGGTGGACCATTCACTGTAAATCTTCAAATGAATCAAAATTGCAAGAAACTTTAATTTTCACTTCCAACAGGGAGCTCAGAAATTCCGACTTCTGAGGACAACTGGAACACAACATATTGTAAAGCTCCTGTGAGGAATTTTGGATTTGTCTTGACTTTGACGCCGTGTTTTCTTACAAAAATAAACCACCTTCATCGCCAGCATCAATCCCAACATCAGCGTTAAACTCCTCACTGAGTCAGCGTTCTTTGAGCGAACAAGTGAAGCAGACATGTGCCCACTAACGCTCTCTCTTTGATTCAGAAGATGAAAGGCAGATTAGGTTTTTCCTCCTTAATGTGGCCGCTGAAGCTGAGATTAAATAAAAAAGGCAGAAAATCCACCTTCATCCTCTGTAATCTGTTTATTTACAGGGTGACACCCCTGGAAGTTACACCTGGACGCTCCTTTTCCAAACAGGCTCAAATAACACAGTGATCATTGTACAAGCGCTAACAAGCAACACAAATACTGTCACTGTTAGAGGATGCTGGGAGGAAAAGTATGTCGTGCTGTGATCTCACTACCCACACATGGCCATCCTGTTTCGGATAGCAACTTTCTTGTCTTCTCCGTGTGCGAAAGAGTGTTTATGCAACTGTGTGAGAGAGTGCGTGCCAGACACAGAAACTCAGTCCGGGCTGCAGATCCCTCCGCGATAATCAGCTGGATTGTCTTGCACGCACAACATCTGTCTCAAACACACAAACCGGCTCTTTCACACACACAAACACAACCATTATACAGTCATTACTGTCAGGCTGATGCTCCACAGTCCTCTCTAACATGCTCCTTCTCTCTTATCCATCTCCTTACTTCCCCTTTTTTTTTTCTTTCTTTGTCTTACCCTTCTTCCTCTTCCCCCCTCTCTCTCTCTGTCTTTCTTCCTCGTTTTGCTTCCTTCCAGACGGTCTCCATCTTGGAGCATCGGCTGACGCTGACAGAAGACAAACTCAAAGAGTGTTTGGAGAACCAGATGGAGATCGGCCTGCAACTCCAGAGACGAGAGGAGGCCTAAAACGGCGGCGGGCGGCGTCACAGGGAGGTTGAGTTGAATGGTGTGAGGGAAACGGGGTCACATCAACACCATTAGCGCAGACACTCACGCAGGACACTCTCCATGTGGTGGGATCGCACTTATAATGTGCGATGTTGCAAACAGTTACACATCCCCAAGTGTTGGAGTGAACCGCTTCTCTGAGTGGACATTAAACGCACCCTGAGCTTCGGTGCCAACGTAGAGTGTCGGGGGTATTTTATAGAGATATCAAAAGTGAAGGAGATGAATATTAGAGAAGTTGTTCCTCTATAACAGTGCTGAGAGCGCAGTCCCTTTTCTGCTGACAAAGGACCCGCTGCTAGTCACTGTGTGTGTGCGGTGCTGGTAAGAGCAAAGACACGTGACACACTTTGGTACTTGTCTGTGCACTGCACATGCGGATGTTTTAACTGCATTTGTGCAGCAGACCTGGGCAAGATAGTGGGTGCATCGACTATCATGGACTCAAGAGTTTCTTTTCTTTTCTTTTTTTTTTTAAACGGGAGGCTTTTCGAGATGTCCATTTAAATGGAATCTGCAATCATCCTAAATGCTTAATAATTTACCCAGTCTGTTGAACACCCTTTTGGACACAGAAGAGGGAACTATCTGGGTTTGACCTCTCTTGTTCAACGCAATTACGTTTTGTATTCCAGTGAATGACCTCCGATGTTTCTCACGTGCATGATACCATGATACCTTCTTTTTTTTCCGTAAAAATCTGCCATCAACTTCTCTTCGGCTTTAGCACAGACTAAAGGGATATTCTGGCGTAAAATTAAAGTTAGGGTCAAACACACCGTAACACCAAGTTAAACACCCCCTTGAGAGATGAATGTTGCCAACTGCTTGCTTCATTAGTTATACCACCTTTAGTAACGACCGCAGGATAGCAATACACAGCAACTCTCAACCAAAACGCCACTCTATAGCCACAAATAATGCTCAGAATAGCACTTAACTTCATCAACAGTACATTTAGGGTCCCAGCCATAGCACTAGCCACCAAACATATTTAATAATCATAAATGTTCTTCCTTGAGCTGCGTCACCCCACTGCACTCGGTGATCGACTCGTCTAATCTCTCCCTACAAACAAGCAGCTGCTGGAAGAGAGTGGGTGAGTTGTGTTTGGTCTCTTTACTAAAGAAATGAGGCAAAGCTAAAAAGATGTTTGGTGGCTAGTACTATGGCTGGGACACTATATGTCCTGTTGATGAAGTTAGGTGCTGTTCTGAGCATTATTTGTGGCTATAGAGTGGCGTTTTGGTTGAGGTTCACGCATGGATCCATAGACCGCTGTGTATCGCTATCGTGCAGTCGTTGCTCAAGTTGGTATAACTAGAGAAGGAAGCGGTCTGCAACATTCATCTCTCGAGGGGGTGTCTAACTCGGTGTGTTAAACCATAACTTAATTTTATGCTGGAATATCCCTTTAAGATACTTACCATTAAAATACAGAGCCTTGTATCATCTGACCATTATGACACTGTGATAACTCCTTTTATTAACCCGTCAAAAGTGCTGATAGCAGTTAGCACAGAGCTACAACAGTGCCTTACATGTAGAAGTTTTTGTTGTGAAGAGTTTTAAACACTGGGTCTGCTACGGGCAGTATATTTTTCCTATGAACAAACAAACAAAAAATACCAAATACCAGCTTTAACTCGATTTAGCGTTTTATTGTCAACTCTACTTTTAATCAATCACAGTTTAAAACACATCAGCACCTGCACTCACATGTTTGTTTCCTCATTAGTGCCATGCAGTGATTGTAAAGTTGAAATTTCTACCTCAGGAATTTCAGTAACATGTTTTAGATATTTATGTTTGTCTTATTTATACCGTATAGAAGAGGATTCATCTGTTTTTCTGACGAAAAGAGTTTCAGTAAATGATTAGATACCTGATTAGTGGTTTCCTGAAACTTTGACTAACTTGAAAATAGATGTCACTACTCTGAGCTCTGAGAATGTTTTTCCTTGCGGTCTGACATTTAAGTCCTGAATAGTGGACTGATTTCACAATGAAGGTTCTCAGTTTGGTCTTATTATAGTTTTCTCTGTGAAATGTAAAAACAGCAGTTGTTGATGCTGCTTGTTGTGTTTTCTCCTTTTTACATCTTTATACTGTCGGGTTGACATTTTTAAATGCTGTAGGTAACTTATTGCGTTTGAATAAATGTTTTTTCGATCCTATCTCTGACTCAAACCTCACCGTTGATATCATCTTTGTCGTTCCTCTTCAAAGTTTGTTTTCATAACGGTTGCCAAATCAATGATGTCACCGGGTTTTAGAGAGCGTTTCTTGCTCTGATTGGTCCACAGAGCCCCGACAGTGAATCAAGAAATCACGACTCTCCTGTCTTTATTGTCCTCAGCAGAGACATTAAGATAACAAGCCGTGAGCTGTGTCATCCAGCCCTGGAGGCCATAAATTTCCAGCCCTTTCTTTGCCAGATTTTGAGTGATGAGTTATTACAAAAGCATGAGGTTGGCAGCTCAATATGCCTGCTTTGCTTGTGTTCGAAATCCTTATGTTTCACCCCCGGAGTAATTTACGTAACCTGACCACTAATGCTGGATCAGGACTTTTTATTTTTAGAAGCTTCATTGAAAATGGGCCAGAGGCAACGTTAAGAAACGCGCTGTGTTTTCCTGAGTGACAGAATTATCAGACACATAGAGAAGTATTCATTCATTTCGCTTTTTTTAATTCAACAAACTGGTGTTGTGTTTACATAGTAAAGCGGTGAATCACACTGAGACTTATTGTGGAAGTCTCAGCGGCTCTCGGAGAACAGTGTGGCGTCATTAAGAGGGGAAAATATTAATGACTGTTTCTTTAAGACTCCGCTCAGGCTCTGCACTGATGGAAAAAGAAGAAAAACAAAACCGGAATTCTGGAGCTGTGCTGCCGGGCCCACTCTCTTCCTTCCTGTCTGGGGCCCGCGGACACACATACATGAACACACACACACACACACACACACACACACTTGAGCACTCATGGCAGAGAAAACGGCTCCCTTTACTATGGGCCTCAACCAGACGGCCTGCCAGGGCTCTAGTGGAGGAGGGGCTGAAGAGTGGGTTCAGTGACTACAAGTCTTGACTTTGTGTGTGTGTTTGTGTGTGTAAGGTTGCACGTTCTTTTTCTTTTGTCTTTGTGGGGACCAAGTCAAGTTTTTAACTCCCGCAGAGGAGGACATTTCAGGCCACACATGAGATTTTTTAAGGTAAGGTTTGGACTCAGAAAATCCAGCTCATCTGGTCACTGCAGACGGTTTTTCACTCTGAATCTGGTTCTGCCCGAGGTTTCTTCCCGATCAAAGGAGGTTTTTTTTTTGCCACTGTTTCCAACTGTTGCCAAAGGCTACTGATGGTGGACATGTGCTGGATCTCTGTTTATGATTTAACACAGACTATGTTTGGACCAATTCTCTTGTTTCAGTTGTGTTTTTGCATTACACAAATAAAAATGTAATAATTGAAGAAAAACAAATCTGATTTAATTAGTTGACTTAATAAATTAGTTGACTGATAAACAATGGAATTACATGGATTCACTTTTTTGTTCATTTTTTAAACTTTGAACGGAATATCTTTGAAATTTTGGCCCTGTTTTTTGAAAGAACAGAAATGGACTTTTCAAGAAAATCTTTTACCCAAATGAAAGCCAGTGTCAACACCAATGTTTAAAGGGATTGGTCAGCGAACTTGAATAAAGACAAGTACACGATTGGTACATTATGGACCTGAGCAGCTCATCATTACGCTTCAGGTTCAAAAGTGTGTTGCATCTGTTTGGAGTAACAAAAACAGGATTTCTGACAGCAAGGTGAAGCACTACATAGCGTTTACACTCACACCAATGTTAGTGTATGGATTAGAGCAGTGGTCTCCATATGGCGGACCGCGGTCCACTTCCGGACCGGGAAAGAGTCCAATACGGACCCGAGCCTACCGCAGAAAAATGTATGTTTTTTTTCTCTCTTGTAGGCCTGCACGATGTACGTGTGTGCGATAGTCACATCGCAGAGCCTGCAATGTCGGAGGTGAATGAACTCAGTTAATTTCCAGGGTAGCTGACTGAGATACACTGCATGTGACTCTGCATGTGCTGTGTAGCGATCCACCAATCACCTTTGTCCTTTACTCAGTTGCCAATCAGACTACCCTGCCAGCTGTCAATCAAAATCAGAGAGGAGGAAACCCACCCCTGCACATGTTCTGCACATGGAGTGAGACGCGTGTCCGCTGAGAATTACTTTCAGAACTTTACTGACTGTTAAGCCCAACAAATAAGAACTGTATGGGTTTTAAAATGTATACTTCCGTGGACCACTCTACTATAAGCGGTGCGCGTTTTGCGAGGTGCATGCAATTCTCGGAGGACATGCGTTTCTCGGCACAACACCGCTAACAACAACAATAACAACGACAATGATTGCAAAATGAGCAACGAACAAGAGAAAACCACCGAAAATTAAGATTTGTTGCCAAAAAGAAAAGGAAAGTCAGTTATCTGGAATTATTTCGGTTAAAAGAAGGATGATGGCGACCGAAACACGTGTTCTGTGTTCATCTGTCGCCACAATAACGCCCCAGCACAATAAAAGCTAAAAATATCTCTGAGACAGACAGAAGCCATTCTAACATTCACAAAAAGAGGTAAGATCAGTGCAGGTTAACTGTCATCAAGACTTAAGCAGTGCAGTGTAACATTAAATGCTATTCAGGTCATCTGGTGAAAATTCCTATATTTTTAATATCGTAATATATATCGCAGGGTTGAAAAAAATCGCAATGTTAGTTTTTTCCAATATCGTGCAGCCTTACTCTCTTGCTTTGTGCCTGGTTCAGTAAACTGCACGTGCAATTTCAGCAAGGCATTACATCACTTGCTTACTCCTTGACTTGTCAATCAAATCAGACCTCTTAGCCTACTCGACACACGAAGATTACCGAGCAATCCCG